CTCTAAAACGGAACACAATCAACCCGATAACATCACATCAACAACCAAACAAACCAATTAAACAACAAAGCACAACCAACCACCTACATAGTGCTCTTGTTGAGGGTATTCTTGGGTCTGGTATCCAAGAGCTTTTTTTGACACATCATGGATCTTGCTGTTGACCCCTCTGCAAAAGCTTAACTCTTTGTGGGTCTAATGCAGAAAACCCACGCTGTTTGAACCAAAACGGAGACAATCGATGGCTTGCGTTCCTAAATGGATGGCAAACCCATCCAAACCAGTGGAACCCATCTATTTCATTGCCCACACGGATGAAACAGACACCTATGGACATGATAAGTGGGGACTTGCAACCATGGTGAGTGGGTTGTATCATTCTAACCAAACGGGTCTTAGGGGTCCCTGTCAGCGGTCTTTTTGGAATTTAAAAAGCCAAAGATCCGTTGCCAAATGGGTGTTTCTCTCAAACTTGGGGACTGCAGGTGGTTTCCTCTTGGTTTCCTTTTCCCACCATCCCAAGAGAGGTCCGATTTCCCATTTGGCCATGGGTCAAAATCCAAATTGTACCCGCAGTGAACATCCCAATCCAACCACTAAAATAGGTTCTATCATGGGGTGGTGAATTCACCTACCAAAATGGGATCCCATTGGTTTTGACCCACAGCCATTTTGAGACACTCTCCCGACAACTTAGACTCAGTGGCCAAGGTCTGCCGCAGAAAGCCGCAGCGTGCCACCAGATCTTCCAGCGAGGAAGGGGAGCGACAGATCACCTCGGAGACCCGCACTGGGATTCGGTCATCCCTCGGTGGCAAAATTTGCTCCCCTGCTAAAAGTGAGTAACTTTTAGTGGGTTTAATTTGGAAAACCCCATTTGTTGGCAAACAGTTAAAGTCCTGACATCTAAGCAAAATGCAACAAAGATCCCTTTCTCCTAACATGGCACCTCTGGGGAGGTACTTGGAAATTCATTGTTTTTGAAGGGACCCCCTGGTCGGGTGCCATGTTGGTGAGAGGCAGGGTGAACCGACATGATGGAATTGTGAAAGATTTAATCTTTCAAGAAGGGAGTTGAAATAATATTTGAATAACATCGTATCTCGCGGTCATGACTTTTGTTTTGAAGGCATTGAAGTGCCACTCCAACCCTATTCTTATGGTGTCGGCCCTTATGGTAACTAGTGCTATGCTTGTGCAAAGTGTACATGGATGGGTTCTGGGGAGAAAACAACAACAACAACAACAACAACAACAACAACAACAACAACAACAACAACAACAACAACAACAACAACAACAACAACAACAACAACAACAACAACAACAACAACAACAACAACAACAACAACAACCACAACAACAACAACAACAACAACAACAACAACAACAACAACAACAACAACAACAACAACAACAACAACAACCAACAAACAACGCCAACAACACCAACAACACCAATAACACCAACAACACCAACAACACCAACAACACCAACAACACCAACAACACCAACAACACCAACAACACCAACAACACCAACAACACCAACAACAACAACAACAACAACAACAACAACAACAACAACAACAACAACAACAACAACAACAACAACAGCAACAACAGCAACAACACCAACAACAACAACAACAACAACAACAACAACAACAACAACAACAACAACAACAACAACAACAACAACAACACCAGCAACACCAACAACACCAACAACACCAACAACACCAACAATACCAACAACAACAACAACAACAACAACAACAACAACAACAACAACAACAACAACAACAACAACAACACCAGCAACACCAGCAACACCAACAACAACACCAACACCAACAACAACAACAACAACAACAACAACAACAACAACAACAACAACAACAACAACAACAACAACAATATGTTGCCTTGTGGAAGGACTCGCTACTCGCATGATTGGTCCGACACTTGAGCGCCCGAAACACATTGACTGGCTCCAGCGACCTGGTTTTCAGAGCTTTCTAATATACTTTTTGAGCATACTCCCGAATTTTCCGGGAATTTTCATGTGAAAGTTTAGGGGTATTCTCGAACAAGTGTTGGAGGGCTCTGGAAGAATGAGCCACCACGCCTAGGTCCTCCAGTAGAGAGGTTAGAATAAGTTGGTACCAACTTTTTTCTGTAGTCTATTTTAGTAGAATAAGAACCCTCCCAACCAATTTTAGTGGGGATTGGGATGTTCACTGGGGGTACGATTTGGGTTTTGACCAACAAGCTCACCAGAATGCAAGCGCTCATGGCAGGTGCAGATGATGAAAAAGCGGGGAATCGTGGAATCTTGCAAACTGTACATGGTGCGGTGACTGAGCTCCCAGCAACCAGCCGCTTCTGCTCATCTTCCTGAGCTGAAACTCTGCCCCGTGAAGTTCGAGGAAACGGAGCACTTTGACAACCTGAACTCTTGTCAGGTGGATGTGGAACCTTGCACATCTGCACATTGATGCCGTCGGCTCCCTGCAGGGGACTTGGTAGCTACTAATACCCCAAGCAAAACGCGAACTTGTTGCTGGGAAACACACATGCTTTCCTGAAAAAGTTCCAATTCTCACTCTTCCAATTCTCACTCTTCCGATCGAGGATTAGCCAGAAACAGCAACCAAACTTGGTTTTACCGGCTAAAACGGTCTTCCCAAAGAGCTTAAAGTCCAGGAAGTCAGGAAGTGAGTCAAACATAAGATCTAACCAACTAGCAGCCAAGGGGAAATGATTGTCAACGAGTTTGAGTGTGGGTCACGCAAAGCAAACACGAGCACCTATTCTTTTGGTTTCCTTTGGGGGAAGTGAACGGCGATGGCCTAGTTAAGGAGCTTGCAAAATGGACATGTGCCAAACATGGGATGCGCACATTGTGATTTTCTCTTGGCTTTCTCATGAGCCCCGCCCAATCCCACCTCCGCCCAAAAAAGGAAACAAGAAAGAACACAGGTATCAACCAACCTACCCCCCCACCCCCCCCACCCCCCCGCACAAATTTCTCGATGCCCCCCGCATGGTTCCGACAAACCTCCACCTCTCAACGGTTCCTTTCCTCGGACGCCGAAACTCCGAACTCAAATGGTTATGGGTCAAATAGGTGCCCAAATGGATCCCTAGTAAGTGAAATGGACCAACACCTGTGGATTTGTGGTGGTTTCATTTTCACCCGCACCCAAAATGACAATCCCACTAACAGAGGTTCTAGAATGGGTGGTGAATTCACCTACCCACCAAAATGGGATCCCAAAACGGTTTTGACCACACAGAAATGAACACGGATCGCTTCTTCGCTTCTTCGCGCCTCGTCCTCCAGGAAGGTCTTGGTGGGCTCTTCCATGCCCCCCGCCCCCAGCCGAAAGAAGCGGCGCTGCTCCCGCGCCAAGAAGGCCTCGACTCGAGGAGTCGCTGCGCTGCGCTTCTTTGCGCCCATTTTTAGTGATTGGGATGTTCCAAGGCCTCGAAGGGTCGAGGTCGCTCGCTGGAGGCTTCACCGAGCCGCTTGTTTCATGGGGGCCCGTAATCCGCCGACCCTCTGCCTCCCGTCCCAGCCTCCTGCAGAGGGGACCGGCGTGGGATGCAACTGGAAGTGATTGGAATCAATGATGGTCCCTGGGGGGCACGCCCGAAAGTACAAAAAGTGGATTCCCAAGGACCGGTCCTGGGACCAGTCCTGGGACCAGTCCTGAGGACCGGTCCTGGGACCGGTCCTGGGGCCGGTCCTGGGACTGGTCCTGGGACTGGTCCCGGCCAGGACCGCTTTCAGGACTGGTCCGGTCCCAGCCGCTGGTATCGGATCCCACTTCAAACCGCTGCAGAAACCCGGTGCCACCTCAAACAGCTCCAGACACCTGTTTTTTCAGTGTAGCTGTTTCCGGACTGGCACCCGTGTTTCAGGACCGCACAGGGTCCCAAGTCCCAGTCCCTCCCTGCGACCGGTTGAGGGGCACCGACGGCCTTGTTTCTAGGACCAGCTCAACGTGACTTGGGCGCGAGCCGGCCCGTGCGGTCATTGACGGACGAGCTGCCGCCTTTCTGACTTTTCCGCTAATCCTTGTGGTAGTAGAGGATCCCTGGATCTACTGCCGGCGACCGGTCCAGGGCCACTAGGGTCACTGTCGCCGGGGCAGTTTCGGGAGGGCCAGTTTCAGGGCGACCCGGGACAGGCGACTGCTCCCGGGCCAACTCGAAGTGACTTGGGCGCAAGCCGGCCCAAGCGGCAATTAACGGACTAGCTGCCATATTTCTGACTTTTCCGTTAATCCTTGTTTGTGGTCGTAGAAAATCTTATAAGTGGTCCCTGGGTTTGCGGACGTGTTTCAGGACCGGTCCTTGTGACTTTTCCCTTAATGCGCCGAGGGTCGGCGGCAGCAGGCGGGAGCCTGGTTAATAAGGCCTTATTTAGGGCTTATTTGGGCTGCCTCCCCCTCCCCTCCCCCCCAGCCCCCATGATTGTTGGGGCTGGCGAAAAACGGCTGTGGTGGTCAAAACCGTTTTGGGATCCCATTTTGGTTGGGAGGTGAATTCACCACCTCATTTTAGAACCTATTTGAGTGGGGATTGGGATGTTCACTTATGGGAGGGATTTTGAGCCATGGCCAAAACACGGCAGCCGGGGTGCCGGAAATGATGAGAACCCAATGAAATGAACAAACAGCATGCCAATTATGCTTGCATACATCCCCAAGTGGGGAGCTTTTTGGAGGAGGATTTTGGATGTTGGACTTAATATGCTTCGGTAAAAGGGCTCCAGAAACAAAAGGCTCAGTTTGCATCATTGGAACCTCCGTTGCATGTGTTACCTCCATTGTTTGCCTAACAATGTATGCCTTGACCCCACATGCTTGGGTTTTCCGCGAGCTTTTGAAGACACAAACGCAACCCGCCCGCCCACCCACCCATAAACGCGCACGCACACACAGAGCATCCAGGCGCCTCTGGAGCTTGCGCTGGGAAGTCCAACTCATTCACCGCCACGAGGCGCAGCCCGGACCCATCCGACTGAGCAACAGATCGTGAAATTTGCATTTTGTTGTGAGAAAGCCAAAGCTGGTCCACTTGTGTGTTCAGATTTAGCGGGTTATAACCAAGGATATAAAGGACAATTTCCAGCTGCCCCTAGCAAAAGGCATGATATCCGTGGTTATAGCGCATCCAAGTAAGGCCATGCTGGGAAATAACAACTTTCGGGCAACGGAACCCCTGGCCAGCTGAAGTTGCCGGCGCTCAGTTGGGGAATGTGGCAATGAACCCAGGGGTCCCCTGAAAGAAAACCACCAGTTGGATGGTTGAGTGTCATTCCGTTTCTCACTCCCTGCCTTTCTATCGCACCAAGGAAATTTCCTGAGAGGCAAGGAGTTCAACACCACACGCGGGCACAAAAGGCCTCAGGTTTGAGAAACATGGACCGCAAGCCAAAACATGAGGAATCTTCTTTTCTCTTTCTTGCCACCCGGCATAGTTTTCACTGAGATCCGCAAGAACTCGTACGTACTCGAGGGGCTTATCAGATGTGAGAAGCACATGATGAAAAGGATACACTGGCAGAAGAACGCAGGTAACCTTTCTGCAAAATCATTTATATAGACCTGCAAAGAATTCGGAGGGACAGATTTGGCACAACGTGCAAACACGTGCAAATCACAGAGGCGAACAATCAGGACGGGAAACATCACCCGGCTGTACGGACCCTGAGGTCAGGACAAATGATCGTGTGCCAAACAAGACCTGGCTCATAAATTCACGGGATGGATCAGTTGAGTGAGATGGTCTAACGGCAAAGCCACGGTCAGAGTATGCCATTGGTTGCGGAGGACACAGAAAAAGTTGGGCTTGCTCCCTGGTTGGCGCAACATTCCGTACCCCCACGCTCCGAATTTCAGCTTCTCTCCAATTGGTTTGGATTGGTTTGGATTGGTTAAGGGGTTTACCCTTCTGCAAAAGCCAGTGGTTCAAATCCCCACTTCACATCAATCCAAACCACCAATTGGGGGTAACCTGATAAATGGTTGTCATTTTTTGAGGGTACCCCTTGCTAAGGGACACCAAAATCACATTTGCCGCCCATTTTCGCGGGTCCCACCTTAAAAAGAAACACCCCAACGGGCCGATCTGGGACTAGGTCCTCCAGTAGAGAGGTAGAATAAGGACACCAACTTTTGTCTGTAGTCTATTTTAGTAGGGTTGAACCCTCCCAACCAAAAAAGAAACGGTCAAAGGGGGCACTACTGGGGGACGATCTGGGAATATTTTCACCGACCCTCCCCTTTCGGCCTTCTTCTGCGCTTTCTGCTTGTGCAGCTTGCGCTTACTGGGCCTCAAAAACGCAAAGCCGGAATGGCTCGGTTGACGTTGGTTTCGGGCAGCAACAAATTAATTGTTCGCAGTTAAGTGGGGGTTTCCCACTAAACCACAAGAAGCAAAAATGTAAAATGGTTCCCAACAACAACGATGATGGCTGTGGGAGAAACTATGTGGAGTTTATGATGCCCCCCCTACTCACAGATGCACAGGATTTTAGGGGCTATTTTGAACCAAACATGATGGTAAATAAAGAACCTCCTGCTTTTTCATGGGATGACGCCACAGGAGCCGGGTACAGTACTTGGAGCAAGCCAAAACCTCAAAAAGGTCCCTCATCTAGACATATACCGGCTTTTCCCAACATGTCTTTGTTTGTGGCAACCAGGAAAAATAGGTAGCCCAAGCGTCAGTTCCATTTGATCGTTTTGTGGTGTATTTGCTGGTCACCGTGTCTTCTCTGTCTTTGTCTATTCTCAGGTGTCCACGCAGTGGGAGCTGGGGCTGCTATTGTTGGTCTGGTTGGCCATGATACTGCTAGTTGTTGACAATCATGGTTGGGGTGGCGGTGGTGACGGTGGTGGTGCTGGTGGCAGTTTTGATAATGATGATGATGATGATGATGATGATGATGATGATGATGATGATGATGATGATGAGGATGATGAGGATGAGGATGATGAGGATGATGAGGATGAGGATGATGAGGATGATCAGGATGATCAGGATGATGAGGATGATGAGGATGATCAGGATGATGATGAGGATGAGGATGAGGATGAGGATGATGATGATGATGATGATGATGATGATGATGATGATGATGATGATGATGAGGACGATGAGGACGATGAGGACGATGAGGACGATGAGGACGATGAGGACGATGAGGACGATGAGGATGAGGATGAGGATGAGGATGATGATGATGATGATGATGATGAGGATGTCGCTGTTGTGGATGTTATATACAACCCTTGAACCCTGCTGGCTGTATCCTCGTCTCTGCTTCCAGCTGTTTGTACTTTGCTGCTTGGCGATGGCTTGCATGATGGGGATGTCATGGGTGCTTTTGGTCGCTGGGCCCAACAATTGCACCAGCATATGCCGTGCGGCTTTCTGGTCGCCTCCGGCAAACAGGACCCTAACGAATAAGAGAAACATATTAGTCAAAGAACGCGAGGGTCCCAAGCCACAAAGAGGGTTGCCAATCCGTTCTTGGCACTGTGTTCCAACTCATCCTTTTGTTTCCTGATGTCGCCAACGGCTCACCGACAGAAAGGGAACTACCAACTTTCACCCTTGAGTCGAATAAAAAGGCGCTGGCATGCCGATACTTTCACCCTTCGCGCCGAGATGCCAATGCTCAGCTTCCCTCTAATTTTTGGTTTGGAGCTCGGTTTGGTGGTGAAATGGAGGGGTTTCCCTCCAAACCCTCTGCAAGAAGCAAGGCTTCAAATCCCCAAACCAACATGGAAGCTCCCAAGACCCCTTTGGAAGACTTGGTTCCATTTACAAAGGCCAATTGGGGGAGCTTCCGGCTGTTCTGAGGGAGTGTAGTGATTTGTCTTTTGCTGCCCAGGGCACAGGGGCTGCATCTTTTGCAAGAGCTGCTGCTCCAAGGCTTCCTCGGATGCTCATCGGACGTGGGAAAACCCTACGAGGGGATGTCCCAAAAAGGGCGGGACTCGAAGAACCGGACCTTGGGTATATGTGAAGAGAGCGGGGGAGGGGGAAAAAAACGGATTTGTGCTCCATTCCCATGAAACAAGCGATCATGCGGAAAAGCGCATAATCGCGATGGAGGTGCTAGTTCTTGCGGTGCATGCCTAAAAAGCTGGCCTCAGCAGTCTGTGATCAGCCCCTCAAGCAATGCAGGCGCTGATAGAGCCAAGCTTCTACGGACACACCGTGAAGAAGATTCAGCTCACCTCCAGAACTGCCTGCTCAAACTGACATGGGCGCTTGCTTATGCAAGATAGACTTGCATGCAGTCGAACCTCTGCATGTGTTGCCGAATTTGGCATCCGAATGTGAGGCATGCCTCTTTGTGGGTGCTGAAATGGGTGGCTCCCTTCAGAACCCCCGTGCCAAAACGGAACCTTCACAAAAAACGCTGCCACACAACCACAAACTCACAACCCAGAAGCCTCTTCAAACTCGGGCGTGTCTTTTTTCGGGAACCCCAGAGAAATGGATTTCCTTCTGATTTCCGCTGAACAAAAACATACACAACACGTGAAAGACGTCCCCCTCTCAGTGCGGCTACTCGGTGGGCTGCGGGGCCCTCGGGGAGAATCAGATTCTTGGGCCGCAAAAGGTTGCCGGATACACCGAAAAGTCGAGAAACTCGACAAGTCGAAAAGTGAAAAACAAGTCAACCATATCCACAGCGAGAAACTCGAAAAGTCGAAAACTCAAAAAGTCGCGACACGTCGAAAAGTCACGAAAAGTCGAAACGCCGACACGTCGCGAAAAGTCAACGGACCGCAACATGCAAACACTGGTGATGTTGGCTAAGCAGCCAGTGACACACCAACATTGTTGTTTCTTGCCTTGGCCTTCTGCTCCGGTGAGCCGTGCTTCTTCACTATTCATGCGGAATGGATTTGTTAAAAAAGACAGTTTAAGTAGTTGATGAAATACTTGTCATTGTTCACAATGAACAGTCTAAACTCATTTCTCGTATTGAACTTGGATGCTATAATAAAATAACTTGTGTAATTTCCATCTCGTGCAAACATAGAGTTGCGTGTTTAGACAGTTATAATGTTTGTCCCGATTTGCACTGTCCAATTTATCTCTCTGTCTCTCGCACATATCCCGATATCCAATCCCAACGGCCGGTGAACGATAAGCCTGCCAGGAGCTTTCCGGCCAGGCTCAAGAGCGGCAAACTCAGGGCGAAAGGGGGCACAAAGGGTCAGGTGGCAAGCCGAAAGTCATACATACATATATATATATATATGCAACAACAGCACACTTCTTGCATGCTCACACCCCAGTCTTGAACATGTCCACTTCAAGGTAGGTCCTGGCAAGGCGGGGTGAGCATATATATATATATCAATATTTGCATACTTATATAATATAACTTATATACGTATATATACCGTATACCCAGTTCAGTGACCCACATAAAACATGGAACCCTTCCAGCACTCCCCAACAACTACTATACTTTTTGCTGACCGGACTTGGGATTTTGGACATGGGCAAAAGCAGCTGTTGGGGGGAGTGCTGGAAGCCAAACAAGGGAGGGTGAAACCAGGGTACAAAACCCGCCCCGTCTGGGGGTCACTAACGCTGCCATGTTGGGGCTTGGAGAGGCAGACCACGTGCCACCGTTCAGCGCCTCAAAAGGTGGCCTTTAGCAGAACTTTAGCATCACTTGCGATTGGTCAATGCTCAGCCCTAACCTACCTTTATGTATCATCTTTGCACAGGGAAAACATGAACACTTTTCAAGCGACCATCCTTATTCAAAAAAACAACAAGCTCAACGGCGACCCGCAAGGGATCGGCACTGGGGGCAGGTTTGAGAGCAATCAAGACACCCAGGAGCTTTTCGAATGGGAGACCACCCACATCGGGTGGTTGTCATTTCCTGTTTTCCTTAATTCCCCAACAGCCACCATCAAAATCAGGCCTATGCCGGCTAGTGCTTGACCCTCTGGCGCGCTCATGCATAGTTCTGCCACAGCAACTGTGCCCTTGGCGTCATCCGTTGAACAATTCCCCACGCATCGGAGCACAAGCTCGCACCACCCACCCAGAAGCACTTCGCCCCATCGGACATTGGGAGCAGGGATCCACAGCCAATCTCGTGGGGTTGCCGTGTTGTAGCCCCAAGCGGTTTTCAGGAAACGCCAGCAAATCGCCTTTTTCTTTCAGACCACAATTTGGGACTGTCTTGCAATCGTTTAAAAACAAAACACCCATTCAAACAAATATCTTGGGACCGGTTTTACCAAACTGGAAGCCGAGAAGGACACCAACTATTTTCAGGTGTCCCGTGCTTGGCTCGTCTTGTTTGGGAAGTTGGCACCAAGTATGTTTTACATGGAACCACACGGAAAACCCACAACTGTGGGTCAAAAAAAATGCAGACCTACCCTCGGTTGCTTTCTGCTCCCCTGCTAAAACTTTCCTTTTAGTGGCTTAATTCGGAAAACCCCATTAGTTGGCAAAAAGTTGCTCAGTCCTAACATCCCTTGGCAAACCGCAGCAAAATACCTTGAGACCAGCCCTCACACCCCAAAACACACCGAATCATCGGCGAATTGCAGCAGGGAGGCTGGCTCCAGCCCCCCACCTAAGCAACGGGGCCTGCGTTGGGCCTCTGGGGGGTTCTGGATTTTCCTTTGGGGGAAGCCAAGGGAAAAATCGCCGAGTTGAAGGAACCTGGTCCTCCATTTGCTTTTCGACCGGGACGAATGAGAAAATGTGTCCAGTGGTAGACTCCCTTTGAAACCAACAGGGGGGAAAAAGCTATTCTTAGGCAAATGGAAGTTGTTTATATTTTGGTTTGTGGTTTTTTGTGCGGGGTGGGGGGGTTTTGTTTTGAGCAACTCAAGTTGCACACCCGCTGGAGCCCAGAGGCTGAAGGAGAAAGAAAGCACGAAGCTCGCCCGGTTCCAAACTGGGGTAAGGTGAGCCAAGCGGCGAAATGTATCAGTACCATATGGCTGTGGGTGAAAAATAGGTACCCAAAATGGCAAAATGGAAGCGTTGTAAGAGGAAACATGGCCCGTCCCTGCCTTGCTTCTCAGATTGAGAAACGCCCCATGTCACCCCAGAATCATGCATCGCCAGGACTTAAATTTTGGTTGATTCTTTCAATTGTGAGCCCAAACCCGTTGACCTTTGGTTCTAACATGGTTGTAAAGATTCGGAACGTTGACCCCAAATTAATAAACCTCTTGAGCAAAGTAGGGGGGGAAAACCCCTGCTTCGTTCCCTCCGCAGAACCCGTGGCCTAGGGTTTGGGGTTTTCAGAGCTTAAGTTTTGGCCCAAACCACCCTATTAGGGACTACTCATGAGAAGCACCTACTAGGCTTCTGCACTCTTGGGGCGTTGTGGACGCTCAACAACTTCCGCTTCAAACACCGTCGTCCAATTCCCCATCGGATCTGCCTGCTAGCCCGACTGCTTTTCAATGTCCAAAAATCCCGAGCGAGGCTCCGGTTCTTGTGCTTGGAATCACATATTTTGAATTCACGCCTGGGGGGGTTCTTGAAATCACGACCGGGGGGTCCCGTTTTTTTGTTGTTTTGGGCTCCGCTTTATTGTTTTTGAATTCACGCCTTGGGGCTCCGTTTCTTACTTTCCTTTTGTGGGGCTTCGCTTTTCTTTGAATTCACGCCTCTGGGCCCTGGTGCCTTTTCTTCAAGTCATGCTTGGGGGCTCCGGTGCGGTGTTGCTCTTTAAAATCACGCCCAGGCGTGATGCACAAAACGAAAACACAATGACCCCCAGGCGCGATTTCAAAAGCAAAAGCACGAGGGCCCAGAGGTGTGAATTCAAAAGAAGAAACACCCCGGCCCACAGGCATGAATGCAACAAAAACAAGCACCAGGACCCCAGGCATGATTTCAAACCGGGGACCGCCAGAATAACAAAACACCCAGGCGTGAGTGTTTTTTCTTTCAGACGGGCCCAGGCGTGATTTCAAAAACAAAGCCGGGACCGAGGTGTTTCTTTTGAATCACCAGTCGCTCACTGCTTGCTCGCTTTGTCTGCGACAACCAACAACATGAGACTCCACATTCAAAACAAACACGGATGGCAAAGGTTTCTAGGGGTTAATGCCCCGTTCTTTTCAACCATCGTTCTTTTCGGACACCAGCTGATTCGGATGGTTTCCTGAAACCCAGGATCCCCGCAAAGAATGCGGGGGGGGGGGGGTACCCCTCGAAAATTCTTAAAAAAAAACACACCCACCCCGGTTCCCCCAAGCAAGCCGCCGCCCACCAAAAAAGAAGAGGCTCCTGGACTCCTGAGGGCTCCACTTCCCACTGGACTTCACCCGTCTGTAAGGAACACCACGCCTTCCTTCCCGGTTGGCTCGCTCGGACATCGCCTTCTCAATGGGCGAGGGGCGTTTCACTGGCGATGGGTTGATGCTGCGGTGAAGGCCACAAGTCAGACTTAGTGTGTCTATAAACCAGGGTCAGGCTGGTGTTTCACAAAACTTGGATGACCAGCAAAGGGCTTGCCAAGCGGTGTATAACCTCACAGTGCGCCGGAAAAACAAATGGATGGAAAGGACCAGGACATTGCTTCTCAGGTCCCACAAATCTGGACGCACAACTAGCCAAAATTGGGCCAAAGATTGGGCGCAGCTTGTTCTTCCTTTTGGTTTCCTCTAAAACCACCAACATACCCCAACAAAAGCCAAGTAGCCTTGAGAACAACACAAAGGCCCAAGGACTGCGTGTACGACTCACGAGCAAAGGCGCCAGGCAGGTAATGGGGTAGGTGGTGAGGATGTGGCTGAGGCGCAGCAGGGTGCAAAGGGTCTGCTCTTCCATCAGCCACATCCTTAGAGAACATGGGCAATCACCAAGGCCTTTATTTCATGGGGTCTGGGGGGGAGGGAGGGGAGGGGGAGGGAGCCCAAATAAGCCCTGACTAAGCTCTTAATAAGGTCTTATTTAGGACATATTTAGGCTCCCTCCCCCTCCCTTAGAATAAGGGTACCGTTTCTGTGTTCTGTCTATTTTAGTGGACCCTCCCCCAAAAACGGGGTGAGAAAGGGCACTACTGAAAAACCTAGCCTTGATTGCTTTGGACATTTGTGTGGCGATCATCAGCCAACTTTGAGCAATGATGCAAGGTAGGCGCACCCCCCAACCACAAGGTGGATGGTTCACTTGGCCCAATTTTCTAAAAGCTTGTTAGAAAGAGCTCTGACAATTCTCTGGAAGTGCTGGACTTGTTGGTTAGTGGAGAACCAACCAAAGAGCATCCAAGGAACTGCCGGGATGTCCCAAATAGAAGCTGAAGGACAAGAACCACACTGAAACTGAAGAGGGTTTCGCCCCTTTTCAACAACGACATGTCCCAACTCACCCCAAAAGGGCGAAACATGACTCCTGACGGCATGCAAGCAAGAATGTCCGCAGGATCTTCATATTGGCACCAAGCACTGTACGAGCGGAAAACAAAACAAACAAACCTCCTAACACCTCAGACCCAAGCCGGAAGCTGACCACAACTCGGGCCCAGCCCGGCACCCGTCACTTTCCGACGGTACACAGCCGGGCAATAGCGAAGTTTGCCAAGCCGCAGCGAGGCTTCGTTGTCCACGGTAAGCAGATCCTGGGGTTTGGTTAAGACAATGTTCCTAAGGCTCCCCAAGCCCGAAAGAGGCTCTGAACCACCCACCCCTTCTTTCGGGAGTCCATGTTTCTTTGGGCTCACCGGCATAGACGAAAAGGAAAACCACCAGTTCGAAGGTCGGTTTTTGACGCGCATGCGTTCAGCAACTCCTAGTCTTCACGCCAGAGTTAAAGTGGAAAGGCGCTCAAAGGACCCAAGATACCGTGAATGACGTCAACAGCTACCAGTGCGGCTGCTGGCATGTTGTGTCTCTTGAGACCTGCGAACAAATTGGCCATACATAAAACATTTGTGCGTCATTTTCTGTGTCACTTTCTAGCGGACCCTCTAAACTGTGGTTTTCCTTTTGGTTTCCGTTTCAATCCACCAATAAATGGGTACCCTCAAAGACAGACCCACACGAATCGGAGGAACACAAAGTTCTTCAAAAGTCCTAGTCGGACATCTCAAACTCAACACAAACCAGCACAAGGCGCAAAGAGGGTGATTCGAAAAAAGGAGCAAGCTGCAGACAAACTTCCCAAAAATGCAAGCCTATGGCAAGCTCCCTGGGTCTTTTAGAAGCTGAGGAACAAGCTAGGTCCATAAGGTATGCTGCAGGTCCAATGGCGTGTACTACTTTGACGGTTTCCCGCTCTGTAAGCAAAAAACACAAGTCCAGCACCCTGAGACCTGCCAATCCTGACATGCTTCACTTGTTTGAATGACCGCACACTTATTTCTCATGTTATTACTGGCCATGCGTCAACATCTAAATTGTACCCCCGGTGAACATCCCAATCATTCCCCACGAAAATTGGTTCTAAAATGGGTGGTGAATTCACCTATCCCAACCAAAAATGGATCCCAAAACGGTTTTGACAACCACAGCCCCTCAAAGAAGCCAGAAAGGAACATGCGGGGGAAGCCCTCTCGCCTGGCACATCGCCAGTGACACAGGATCTGGAGCGGCCTCCAGACATGCTTCACCCTCTCGATTGGATGTGCAACCGAACGCTACGGCGAATGTGGGACCTTTACTGTGGGAACTTAAATCTTGGTACCGAAACAGTTGGGGGGAAGTCGTGTTTAAGCCTGGGAAACTTGACACAATTCAGACTACCGATATTAAACCAGGTGCAACAATACTTGCTCGGCTTCAAGATTGGCCGTGCCCAAATGGGTCGTCAGACGCCTCTGACGAACACACTGGTTCCAGGTTGGCCACTTGTATTTTGATGCAGAGCGAAGACGTGGGTGCGAAAAAAATGGCCACCCCTTAGTTGGTGTAGAGGGAAAGCAACAGGAAGTCGACCACGGAAACACCTTGCTTGGATTCAGGGGTTTGGAAACACCATAGCAACCAAGGAACATTTCGGTATAGGTCCAAAGTAGATTTCCACCAGGGTGCCGCAGGTTATTGTCCTTCTTTCCACTTACAGGAGTTCCATTTGGGGGTTATCCAATGTTTGACCCACGCCCATTTCATCCTTTTGGGGTCCCATTTTTGACGCAACACGTATTCTGCTGAAGCCACGGCTAGGAGTTGATCAACTTCGACTGACACGTGGGTATGTCTTTCTTTCGAGGAAGCCTTTTCCGGGCTGGTTCAAAGGGGCGTTGCAGGGAAACCACCCATTTTTGTAGGGCTCCCCTATTTTGAGACATACCCATCTTTAGAGTCGCATCCATATTAAATACATTAATTTACATCTCTAGCATGCGCGCAGGTCAAGAGCGGTCCCAATGGGCTTCTCGAACCCCGGCCATGGGGAATGGGCACCCCTGTTTGGCTCATAAGAGTGGCCCTCGTCCAAACACAACTTGAAACACGGGTAATTACTACTTGGTGTTGGGACAAATCAACCTAAACGCGGCAAATGTTTTGCGTCGCCTTCTGAAGACTCTTCGAGACATTCGAGTCTTTGCTTCACTTCTCCGTGTCACAATCATCTGCAAGCTTAGAGCAGTTCTGAAACAAAGCATCCCCAAAAATCAAGGGCCTATATTACGGGAGCTCGAGGGGCTCTTACTCCAACCTCAATAAAATAGGCAGAACCATTCCATAAGCTGACATAGCCTTCATCGTGCTTGCGCCATTCCCGCCGAGGCCGAGCCCTTCATTCACTAAACCTTCCGACGGGCCAGGCGGCCTGCTCCCTTTCCTCCCTCTTCGCCGAGCTCTTGAACTTGCGGTCGATGCTGAACTCCCCTTCCCCTGCAGCGGAAAAAAAAAGCCGGGGAGAAGAAACCCAGCTCCTAGGAACCTGGGGCTGACACCAAAAACCCTACCTGCCCAGCTCCTAGGAACCTGCTGACACAAAAAACCCGACCATCCCAGCTCGGCGAACCTGCCGACTAAAACCCCTACCATCCCAGCTGACTCTGACCAAAACAAACCCTTGGGGCTGAGACCATCTTCTTAGTGAAACCAAACGCGAGAACAGCCAGGCGCCTCTGAACACGTGGGCCATTGACTCAGCTGATGCCGTGGGAGCCCCTTGGGGCAGCTGTGAGTGACCCTTCTGACTGACTCAGGGAGTTTGGGTGAGAGATCGTATTTATCATTTGGCGGTGGGTCAAAAATCCCCAAAAGGAGCCCTTATAAATGGGAACACGGACTCAAACCTGCAGTCCCCTGATGGCTTCATTTTGACCCATACCCATTTGTTGATGAAAGGATGTCCCTGACAATTAAGATGATCCTTCCCACCCGTCTTGCTACCTTGGTTCGGGAGAAATGCCCCACTTGGGTACGTTCCTTTTTGGAGGGCGCGTAATTTGGTGGCTTCCAAGAGGAAAACCACCATTTTGGGAGGTTCAACCCCTAAACAAACACAACGATTTGGGATGTATCCGCGTGCAGAATGTGGGTTGCATCGGCTTGCTCCCAGGGCCTTCGCCCTCGGCCTCCGGCTCATTCTCGGAGTCCTGACTTCACGACGGGTGGTCAAAATGCGTCCCTTGAACGTATATATCTCTATCCAGAATGTGCGTGGATGGTGTATATCTATATTGGCATACATTGCAAGAAAATCGGCGGAGCGGGAGGGGCCGACGTTTTAAACATATGAGAGCCATAGTCTGGAGAAGGTTTCTTTTCCCCTCTCTCTCTCTGTCTCTTTCTCTCTTTCTTTGCCCCTTCTTCTTCCTGTTTGTTTCCACTTTATCTTTCTCAGTCTCGTTTTGCTTCTCTTCCTCGCCTTTCTCTTTCTGTTTCTCCGTCTCTGTCTCCTTCTCTTTCTCCTTCCCTTTCTCTTTTCTCCTTCTGTTTTTCTGTCTCTGTCTCTTTCTTATTTCTTTCCCAGTTCTCGCGTTGGCCATCTTTTTCGTGGCTTTTTCGCTCGCGTCGCATCTAGTCTGCACGATCACGCACGGCTGCATTCTGAGAGAGAGAGAGAGAGAGAAGCTGCTCAACTAGTTCCAGTTCTACGTAAGTTACTTTTACACTTTTAATAAGCTCAGCAAACATGTTTAAATTGCCTTGGAGAATCAGATGGGTATGAATTTTCATGGGGGACCTTTTAGTGGGCATCATTTAGGAGATTTATGTCCGCCAATCACTTCTGAAAGGGCTCCCCATCAAACATCATGGCCAGATCAGCACGTGACTTGGCAGCAGCTGACTCCCCGCAATCGTGCGGCGCCTCGTCGTCAAGGCCTTCGGACTCCTGCGCGATCAATTTGTTTAGGCAGCTTGGGGGGGGTCTCATTTCACCCACCGAGTTGGCTAAAAAAACAAAGCAATTCTGCTCACCTGAGACTGGCCAGGAAACAGGAACCAGGGACTTGCTTTAATTTACCACCAAAATGGTCCAAACCCGAAAAAATGAAAGTCCAGGAACTCAGTGAGTGAGAAAATGGGGGACGTTTGGACGGGTAAGTGGAGAATTGAAATGGGTCCAGGGTCGCTTTTGAGAAAATCAGCGGGGCGGGGTTTGGGGGAATGGGTAGTGAACAAGACACGTCTTTCTGCACATTTAAGACACCTGCGCATTGCCCTTTGTGTCTCCAGCGGACATGCCGCTAGATCGTTGAGCCAGGCTGAAGAAAGCTTCGAGAGGGGCCACGGGCGGAAGGTCAAGCTGCACCAGATTTGGGCATGCGTCGAAACTAGTGGACCATAGAAAGCCAATGCCATTTCGAATTGGAAGCCAGATGCTTATTGCCTGCTTCAGAACTCCGGCTCCACTTAACATATATCAGAGGCCTTGTAGAGACTTAGGGGGGTTTCTACTGAACAGGAACAAATTCTAAAAAACCTGATTCGTGTCAGGGACTTAAGGGGGTTGGCAAAAAAAAGGAACCGATAGACATTTCTGAATGCGAACCCTTCTTATCAGATCCTTCGGCCTCCGGGAAACCCTTCCGCGACGTGCCTCGCTGTGCTTGCTGGGCGTGTCGGTGGCCTGGCGAAGGCCCACCTGGAGCTTGCCGCGGGCCGGGGGAAACCCCACCCGGTTTGGATGAAACAGCGCGGGCCCCCCAGCGATTTGATTTTCGTTTTCGTTGTCGTTTTTTGGAGGGAAGCCAAGAGCTGAAAGCCCATGGAACTTTGTTTTGGGGGGTCCCCAAAACAAAAAGAAAAACGACAGACACATACTGTGGGGCCAGTGGCGAAATCCCTTCGCACCACGTTTAGTGGTATTTACTTTGGGGAATTGAATCATTCCAGGGCTTGTGAACGGTGTTGCGAAATGGATTTCGTCCATCCACAGTACGAACCCATGGCCATCTTGGGTTGATACCAGGGGTTATGGAACTACGAGGGCACAGGGGCAGATAATTGGCCCCCCCAGGTAACAGGGTTCCCTGTATATCCTCTTTAAATACTCCACAGTGTCGTTTTTGATGGCACGCCTTTTTAAGGCGGGATGAAAGGACAACCGAAGAAATTGTGGGTTACCCTGGACAAAGAAACGCACATTTGAACATCCAACTTTTACGCGTTGTCCAAGCAAAAAGACACGGCGCGGTTCAATTCGCAGCCGGTGCTAAACCTATGCGAGGCATTTGCAGAGCTGGGCTCCTGATCTCATCCTTCACAGACTCGAGATTCTTGCGGGAGCCCTCAAAGAATCCAAGAACAAATCCATGATTTCAGGGTTCCAAGATCCGAAAACCTCCTGCTTCACCAGGGAACCGCGAAATTCGACGGATCCAACTGTATCCTTTGAAGGACCTGGTGATGTCGCCGCTGGATAAAGCATCAACCTGCGAACAACTCCAAGACAAAAAAAACACTGGGAACGTGAGACACACCTATTGAAAGGAACGAAGACACCTGTGGGGTCCAGACCCCCAAAGACAGCACAACATGACACTGAGACGACCTTGTTTTCGTAACCTTCATTGCAAACAGACACCTCCGAAAGTATCCCGTAACCTCCATTTGCTCTTTTGGATTCCCTTTGAAACCCAATAGGCCGAAATACACATCTCCTCAACTTGCTGGTTCTCAGCAGGGAATGAGGGACTAACCCCCAATAGCCCATCCCAAATTCGCTTTCCTTTTGAAGAATTCCCCTCCAGTTGATTCCCAAAACCCAGAAGGCAATTCCCTACCTATCACACCAGCAATTTGAGCAAATGGACAGGTCCCGCGTCCCGGCTCCCCCCCGAACCCAAAAAACATCGGCCACACCGCAGGGGAGACATTTCTTGAGCCAAGGTGCGTAGGGGCTGCCGATGCGCTCCAAGACGTGATCCCGAGCTTGCACCTGGACAAAATGAGGCCCGGTGACCTCTGATAAGATGTGGGGGGGGTGGGGGGGCTTCTCAAAATCCAAATTCCGCATTTTCCGGCTCCCTGCCGAAAGGGGTTCCACCCATTTTGGAGATTCCCCCCCGCGAAAATGGCGTTCAGGTGTCTTTTTGGTTTCCCTGCCACCGGGGCGTCCACCAGTTTCGGAAATCAGGGTCACCCCTGTTTACGTGATGTTCCGTGTACACAACAACGGCTTTTCCATTTAGGTTTGTGTATCATAATACTATCCTTTGTGGCATGCTCACAGCAAGTCTGCGTATTCAGTGTATTGGCAAACACAGAGAAGCAAAAAACAAAGCCCTCCCAAGAGCCCTGCAAACCTCTGGAACCCTCCCTGAAAGCATACCCAAACCATGCCATTGCTTTCAGCTCTTAAGGAAGAACACTGTTTTGACAGAGGCGACGAATGGCGACTAGTGACGTTGCCAGGTCAGGGGAAAAAGCCTTGCACATATCTGCCCTGACGCCCATGAACCTGCTACGCACAGCTGGGGAGAATGTGTTTTTGGAAGTCGCTTCATTCACAGCCTTGTCGTTGAAGGCCTATTCTGCGACAATCATTTGCTTATACCAAGAGCACCCCAGCACGCACTACTTGGACGCACGGTGCCCATGCTCAGCCCATCCACAGCCACATGCTGCTTGATCGCATGCACGTAACGGTGCTGTGTGTTTGTGTTTGTGTTTGTGTTTGCGTTTGTGTTTGTGTCTATGTGTGTCTATGTGTGTCTATGTGTCTCTATGTGCCTGTGTTTGTGCCTGTGTCTGTCTCTGTGTCTCTGTGTCTCTGTGTCTCTGTGTCTCTGTGTCTCTGTGTCTCTGTGTCTCTGTGTCTCTATGTCTGCGTGTCTGTGCCTGTGTCTCTGTGTCTGTCTCTGTGACTCTGTGTCTCTGTGTCTCTGTGTCTCTGTGTCTCTGTGTCTCTGTGTCTCTGTGTCTCTGTGTCTCTATGTCTGCGTGTGAATGCCTGTGTCTCTGTGTGTCTGTGTGTCTGTGTCTCTGTGTCTCTGTGTCTCTGTATCTTTGTGTCTCTGTGTCTCTGTGTCTCTGTGTCTCTGTGTCTCTGTGTCTCTGTGTCTCCATGTCTCTGTGTCTCCGTGTCTCTGTGTCTCTGTGTCTCTGTGTCTCTGTGTCTCTGTGTCTCTGTGTCTCCATGTCTCTGTGTCTCCGTGTCTCCGTGTCTCTGTGTCTGTGTGTCTGTTTCTGTTTCTGTGTCTGTGTCTGTGTTGAAGGCCTTCTTATTGTGCGACAATCATTTGCGTATACCAAAAGCACCCCAGCACGCATGCGATCATGCGCGTAATGGTGTCGTGTGTCTGTGTGTCTGTGTGTCTGTGTGTCTGTGTCTCTGTGTCTCCGTGTCTCGGCATTTGTCTATTTCGCGCCCTTTGCATGTAATGGCACGCAAAACCCTTGTGAGGCCACCGTTTGCCTGGAGACCAACCGTGTTCCCAGTGTCTTTGCGAGAAATGTCGCCATGGCCGATTCACACGGAGCCTTCCGCACCACCAGAATACACCAACGAACTGTGTGTTTCGGGTTTAGGGCTTAGGGTTTAGGGTTTAGGGTGGATGGATGGATGGATGGATGGATGGATGGATGGATGGATGGATGGATGGGTGGGTGGGTGGATAGGGGGTGGTTCAGCCACTCAACATCACGCCAAAAACAAAGCTACGGGAAACCTCGCCTGTGAAGCGGATCCTCTGAGCTCAAGGAAAGGCATGGCCGGAAGGAATCTTACCGTATGTGTGCCACGCGCCATGTTCACTCAAAGATGAATGTTGCGTATATGTCATCTATATATATATATGTAATGTACTCAGGTGTGATTTGGAGGAAACTCAGGTCCCCCTTGACTGGCAAGGTGCCAAACTCACCCGACGCAGGCTCCGGAGATTCGCCGCGTCCGTGTCTATGAAGGCCAAGCCTCAAGCGGAGGAGCTTTTTGGCGCCGAGCAGGTTATAACTAAATATGATATAACCGCTGGCAGGACACCAGCCTGAGCTACCCCAAGCCATCTTTACCTCTGTTGAAGAAATCACAGTCACCTTCAAGCAGCAGGGCTGGAAGATCGATTTCTGGGGACCGTTTTGTCAGGTACCCTGAAACAAGTCTCGAGCAAGGCTACCCGGACCTAGGGGGACCTGACATTCCCCCTCAAATGAAGGGCTTGACCGTCGGAAGACATTTGTCTCCAGATGCGATGCGGACAACCAGAAACGGCCCTTCCTTCTCGAACCCAAACTTGTCAAATGCGGCGCCAATTTGTGGTTGGGACCGCGCTACACTTCCACCTGAGGGCTACATTGGATGCCCAACATCAACCTGTCGTGCCTTGAACGAAGGCGGGGCTGCCTATACGAGAAACATGCAATTTGCACCTTTTGCCCAGTCCATTTTTTGACATCCAGCTGAAACATGACCCAAACACATGGATCCCCGGGAAATCGCTGTCAACTTTGAAGGGAAATTCCACAGGAAGCAAACCAACAGCGCGAGCCAACCGAAACTTTCGGCCCGGCTGCTTCTCGCCTCACTGCGCTGTCATGCTCCCCTGCGCCCCATTCAGTCACTGCAACTGCTTTGGATACCGTGCCAATTTGATTTGGTTGCATGGGTTAGAATAAGGGTGCCCTTTTTGCTGTAGTCTACTATTTGCTAGGGGAACCCTCCCCAAAACAAGGGTAAAAGGGCCCTAGAGTTGGACCAACTACTCCCAGGGAAAAGTAGTTGCAGGCGAGTTTTGGAAATTTGGGGCAACGCCCCAAAACGCCACCTAAACGAGCCCAAACCTCACGTAACCACATCCCTAAAGCAACCTCCAAGGCACCGCTTAGCCAGCAGCACACCCAACACACATCACAAGCCAACCCCAAATCCACCCAAAGTTAACCCTAAACCCGCACAGCAGCAGCCCTAAACCCGCACAGCAGCAGCCTGGATGGCAGCCTTTCACTTCGCCAAAATCAACCCCAAACTACCCCCGAGACCCACCCTCATTAATATCCAAGCCAGCCTAAACCCAACTGCCTCCCAATCAGAGCCAACAGGCCCCCACGCCAAGTGAGGCTGGTGATGCAGGGTGATGCGGCAAGCCAACCAACCAACCAACCAACCGACCGACCGACCGACCAACCCACCAACCCAGCCCTAATTAAAAAGAAAAAAACAACTTGACCTAGGGGGAAAAAAACACCGGATCCCCTTTTCAGAGAAGCCTGCCCCCCAAAAGAAGGCAAAAGGCACCTTCACCAACCCAGCAACAGCAACCGGACCCGCCAACTCCCCTTTCGGCCAAGAAGCTGTCCATCTCTAAGGCCTGCAGCTCCGGGTGCTCCAGGCCCGTCTTGCCGCCCAACAGCACCCCGAAGTGCGCCGCGCAGCCTCCGAGAACTCCGAAACTCGGCGAAACTCGGCGAGCGCGAGCCCGTAGGCGCAAGCGGCATGCATTCGGCGAGGACTTCGGGCGGGAGGAGCCAACATCCTAAACGCATCCCAGCAACATTCTCAAGCCCAACCGGTTCTTAGTCACAAACTCTCAAGCACCCTGCGCAAACTATTGTTGTCAATACGAAACGCGTTGCACCTGTTGGGAGGTGCAGAAGGCAGCGAAGGCCAACATGAAACGGCCATTGGGAGTTGTCCCTAGACTCCCCCATGAAAACCTGAGTGCGAGCCTGGAGTATCGAGTTGCCTCATTGCGAAATCTGCGACTGTGGACTACCACTCGTGGTCTACTAGCCGAATTTCCCTCACTTCCCCCAAACCTTGTTTCCACCAAATTGGTCCAAACCCAAAAAGTTTGAAGTCCAGGAACTCAGGAAGTGAGTACCAGAAGCTTAACGCATCACTTGGAGAAGCCGTAGGGTCTTGGCAAGAATCAGAGATCCCTTTCGGAATGGTGTAAGGGATGAAAGGTACACACATCAGGCAAGTGGGTTCCCGGCTTTAGGCAACATCCGCATGAGCCTGCGATGTCCCTAGTGCCAACAGATCGGATGTTGGCAAGGGGCCAGTTTTCTCGGGGGTAGTGTACGTGTGCCACATCACTCCGTTGGCTGCGGTAGACGCTGAATGTTGACCTCTTTCATGGAGCCAACAAAAGTGATGCTCACACCTGGCTTTTTCCGTGGCATATCAGTATATCCCATAAAACCCTGCTGCAATGCATCAACTGATCGTGAATATTGACCGTTGCTCACATGTAGCCAACTTTTCCAATTCTAAAACTGCAAGCGCGATCCAAAAAACAGTCGCTGGGAGGGGGGGGGGGGCGGTAACAGGGTTCCCTATATTTCCTCTTTAACTCTCACCCCAAAAGGAAACTCAACCCGAAGGGGAAATAAAGGTGTGTCTTTTTGTTGAGGGTATAGCGGCAAACCGAAAGGAAGCACGGAAGCCATTTTGGGGTCCTCTTCTGGGAACATGTTCTCACCTTGCCCCTAATTGGTGGCAAAGTTTGGACGTTGCCATTTCGTTTCAACGGGTACGTTTCAAATCCCCAAACCACCAATCCAAACACGAACTAGAGGGAAGCTGATGTTAGCATAGGTGGCTTTTGGAAAAATAGATGGCCCTGGCAAATGGAAAAACCCTCTAAACCAGTGCCATCTATGTTGGGCTAAACTATCCTAAACGGACGCCTATGGATGTTCGTCTCGGGAAGTGGCTGGGCATCAGCCAGGCAACTCCTCGCCACTGCCGCATAGACTCTACGCCGGTGGCTGGCGGATCTCGGCATCATGGCGTCCAAGACCTTGCCGAACGCAAGGAACGAGCAGAGCTGCTCTGAGCGGAGGAACATTTCAGGTACGGCCGTGGCTCAAAAAAGTGGAGCCCAAAATGGCCACCTTGGCGTCATGGAATCAAAGACTCCCACTTGCGGTTTGCCCTAGCCCTTCATTTTTGAGCCACAGCCGTATGGGTGTTGGAGCAGATGGGGTTTGGTTTCCGGCATGGTATCCCATGGCGTTTGTTGGCATTTACAAGCGGAATCGAATCATGGCGTTGAAATTCTGAGCGGTGGTGACCGCAAGAGGATTTCGCAAGCATCCATCGTATGACCCCAACCAAGCTAAGACCTACAGGCTTCACTCGAATGTTCAGGTGGTAACTCTAACCCTCCAAGCCCCGATTGGCTTTACTACTAGGAACCAAGCCAGAAAAAACAGCGCCCTCCCTTGCAGGGTTTCGACATTCACTTTGCCAAAAGACGAACATGCGCCATCAAGCTCCAAGCTCGATCGGTTTTGGGCGCTCAGCTTTTGGCATGGGCCTCAACATAGTGCAGTCCCCCCCAACAAAATAACTAAATAAAGAAAGAAAAACAAACAAAGAAACAAACAAACAAAGAAACAAACAAACAAACAACCATACACATGGTTTCCTGCTGGCCCCCCTTTTTTTTCCTTCACCAAGCCAATTCCACGCTTCACGAAAGCAGCGGCACGCCAAAGATTCCCCATGTCGCGGCGCGGAGGTTCGCATGGCAAAGGTCCAGAGGTAGCCCACGTCCACTGGGGAGGCCAAATCCTCCACCGGGGTCCTGGAGAAGGCGTGCGCCACGTCCCAGAAGACACCTCAGGCCGAACCTCTCGAATTCGAATCTCCTGTTCTCGTGGCGCTTTTCTTTGGATCAAACACATAGGCCGAACCTCTCGAGAATTCCCCGAATTTCCCCCGTGGCGCTTTTCTGAACTCCAATTTCCCGGTTCTCGTGGCGTTTTTTGTTGGATGAAACAAATACATAGCGTCCAGTGACACATTTGGACAGATATGGGCGGTTAAACAAATAGTCCCTTCCAGTTGGAACAAGACAAACCACAAGGCGATTGGGGAAAAAAAACAAGCCTGGAGATTGGATCAAACAAAAACCACCTGGCGTCCAGTTAGGGCACTTAGACAAACATGGGCGGTTTGGAACTGTTCAAAGCCTGGAAATTTGAGGGGTCCATATCGATAGAGAAATAGGTAGATAAATAGATACATTGATATACAGAAAGAGAAGCACGGAGACAGAAACTGCCCATACACTACGCACAAGTCAAACTCCAATGGTAGCAGGGATCAACTTGGTTCTCCTCAATTATTTATCCTGTACATGGGTGTGCCTCAAAATTCGCGAACCCCAAAATGGGTAGTTTACTTTGAATCGCTTTTAACATTTTAACCATCCCAAAATGGTACCCTGAAAAACAAGGCACACCCACATGGTAGCTTAAAGGTAAATCGCCGCCAAAAGGGGGCCCAGTCTACCCAAAACCTGATAAAGAATCTGTCTTTACGTACCGTATCCGTGTTTTGCTTGTTGTGGGTCCGATAGGCTGCTTCCTAACCAGCCATCACACCCCACCCCAGCCAAACGAAACAAACCAAGCCAGCGAACAAACCAAACGAGGCAACACCGAGCTGAGGGCAAATCAGGGATTCTCCAGAGGCTTTCTACAGTTGGTCGCGAAATGTTCTTTCTCCAAGTGCGTAAAGTGGTCATTGTTGAAAATGGATCTGGTTTTCACACGCTGGACATCACATCTAGGACTCCATGTCCAGTAGCTTCCAGGATGGCAGGGACATCCTTGCGTGGGAAATCTTAAGGCCTTTTTTCACGGGTTCGTAGGAACCACCTGAAAGCACTGAGCGGGCCCTTCCTGTTTCAACCTGGCAACAGCTAACCAACCCAGCAACAAATGAAGCAACGAGAAGCAAGCAGCCAAGTCCAAGCACGGACCCAAACAAAAACCGGCCATAGACACTTCAAGCACAGAAGCGCTTCGGCAAGCGCGTTGGAACAGCAAGTGTTGTCACCGGAGCCCCCAACCTTTCATGGAGTAACAAACAGCATTTTATTTCAAGAAGGGGGCTAAAGAGGGGTTGAGTCCCAAAATTCCGAGTTGCCTAGTGACGATGCTTTCCCAAAAACAAACGAAGCCATATATTGTTAGGGGGCCGGGTTTCAGCTTTGTCATGCCAGAGACTAGCTTTAGTTATTATAACACAAAGTACACTTTCCTTGGGTCTGGCAACATTTGAGAAAGGAATTTAAACAGGTTTACTGGGAGGAAGTGATTGTTCCCCTTGCTGATTGGCCATGTTGGAAGACAAACCAAGAAGACAAGGGACGACTGGAATCCAGTTCAACCCTCTCGAGTACAGGGAACTTTTCTTGCCGCGCAAGAGCAACGTTCAGCCATTTGGCAACTGGAACATTGGTTGGACAGATTCCCTCACATCCAAGAGTGACTTTCATCAGGGGCACCTAGGTCAATTGCCGTAGATCAATTCAGGGTTCGGGCCACTGGGACGGTTGGATTTCACTATGATTTGTCTAGATATGGGTGTGGGTCAAAACCAATAGTACTATTTTGGGGTAGGTGCACCACCCATTTTAATCTATTGTAGTGGGATTGGGATGTTCACTGGGGGTACGGATTGTGACCCATGGCCATATACTCTACTCGAAGTGTTCGTATCTTTAGCTACAACACGATACAAACTCTCCGGCCAGAGACAAAGCTCTGGGTGAAAATTGCGGCAACAACTGGTGACAGCCTTCCTTTTCAGGGCGTCGACAGCGATCGTTCGTTTGCTTACCTGAGCTGCCCGTTTTCAGATCCCAAACGCTAAAAGTGACGAACTTTGAGTGGGTTAAATTCGGAAACTACCACAAACCACTAAAAGGATGTAAAAATTAAGGAACCGGATACCAAGATACCAAGGTTGACCCAAGAGGCGATGAATCCGAGAACTAGAGGTTGTTCCCTCCGAAATGGACCACACAAGCGCAAGATTTTGACTGAACCCAAGACATCGGGCGTGGGTCCCTCAAATGGGCGGACCAAACACATGTTTTCGCCAGAACCAAAATTTGCTATGAAAAATGGGCGTCCCCCGCAATTTCTGGTTGGGGTTTGTCCCCGTCCTAACCTTTACCTACCCGGGTGTTGAGCAAGTGGCTCAGGTGGGTCTCCCCAGCCCTGGAAACCGAATTTCTGGAAGCCTCTGAAACCCTCCCCTGAAAGCTGGCCCAAACCAACTGACCTTCACCTGCCCAGGTGTTGATTGGACCTGGTTCAGGAGTCTCCAATGGAGCGACTTCGGTGAGTCCCCTGGTGGTTGCCTCCGAAATTTCGGACCACAGACTCCCCATTTTGACCGGATCACAGACCCCAAAAGACCCTGGGTAGATGAAAGGTAGCAAAACCATAAAAGCCCATTTGGACAACAAATTATGTTGATTCCAGGTTTTGAGGACGTGGCTCATTTTTGACCGAAGAGAATCCGCCAGGGGGCGAGCCAGGCCATGCAACCGCTGCTTGGAGGCCAGGTCAGTCTCGTTCCACACCCCGAGGGTGGCCTCACCGGCCACAGGGTGCGAGGGGTGGGGTGGGTGGGTGGGTGGGGGTGGTGGGTGAGTGGTGGGTGGTGGTGGGTGGGTTGTGGGAGGTTGTGGTGGGTGGTGGGTGGGTGGGTGGGTGGGTGGGTGGGTGGGTGGGTGGGTGGGTGGGTGGGTGGGTGGGTGGGTGGGTGGGTGGGTGGGTGGGTGGGTGGGGGGAATGAACAGGAAACCCAATTTCCTGGGAAGTTAGAGGGGATTGTTTGCCTTGGGGTCATCCCATGTCTCATTCCCTGCCTATCGAACCATCAAGAAAATAGATGGATCCTATCGAACCAGCAAGGAAATAGATGGATCTCCCTGGTCATGGATGGCATAAACCAATCTAAACCAGTGGAACCCATCTATTTCTAGCCACAACTGGCGATCAAAAGGACAGCAATGGCTTCGGCGTTTCTCGGCTTTTCGGCTTCCAGGCGTCAGTTGGCTCGTGGGTCCCAGGTGAACCTGGGGACTCTTGGTTCTAGCCACATTTTCCGTGGCAAAACGTAGCTGGATCTCGCATCGGACACTTCCCGGATGAAGGCTTTGGCATTCCCATGGGTCCAAACCTAACGCACTGGGTGCGTCTCTTTGGCAAGGAATCCGAAGGGAATGCAACCTTTTTTAGGAAGCTCATGATAACAATCCCAGGACGCCTGGCCTCCCCAATATGGTTTTATAAGGGGTTGAAAGTTGTGGTCCCCTAAACAGGTTGGTTCCCTTTGAATTTCTTTTTGAATACCAGCCAAAACAGTGTTAAACGCGCGAATCGGTTCTATCACGCGTTAGTCACCTGACATAATTTACTGGCGCAGTTCTTGAGGCAATATCAAGGGTCTAAGTTGTGACTTTCGGAAAACTGTATCTTCCCAAGCAGTAACGTGAACTTCAGATGTTAACGAGGACCATTCCAATCGTGGCTTCCTTGTAGGGAAATGACTAGACTGGGTCCTCGGGCCTCCGGATTCATCCGATATCAACATTCTCCCATATAACTCTGTCCCAGCTGCTACAGTGACCCGGGAATTTGAGCGCTTCGGGAAGGCATGGGCTCAATTCAACCCCACCCCCGACTCCAAATACCAACTTTCTTAGGGTATGATGTCGACCCTCTACTAAAAAAGGAGGTATTTCCCTTGAAAACAGGGTTTTCCAAAAAAACCTTGAAAAGCTGGGTATTTGAATTAGGGGGTAGGCATTGAACGCGAATAGGACAGGTGGCTTGATGCGTGGCTTTCCTTCAAAGACCAGCTGTCTCAGCACAGGAAGAAGCGGTTGCTTTTAGGGGGGTGCAGGAATTGCCAGTTTTCCAATGTGCCACTTGGCAATTGGTGGCAAAGGTGTGTCCGCTTTCGAAATTCGAATCCCCAACCAAGACCTCATGAGATCTATAGAGTCACTTTTCTCTGAGATCATTTTCCTCGGCTGGCAGTTTTAAGGGAAAGACTGGGTGGGCTTTGGGCTTCCCTGTAACAATATATATATATGTATATACACGTATAAATGGGATGTCTGTATACATATGCATATCTGCAGGCGACCGCTTCATTGGGTCCGGGATTGGCACATTGGCAGCTGCGACAAAGGCAATTCGTCGTTCCAGGGAATGCCTCCAAACTCTAGCTTCTATCATGATGCAAATTGGCGAGCCTGAATCTGTGAACAAAACTCACAGGAAACCGAAACACAACTTATGGGCTCGGATTCCGTTGAACCTGGTTTGATGTCCTTCCTGGCAACTAGCAGCTTTGGCCCAAGAGTTTTCGGGAACAGTAACGACGCTACCTGGCTGCTCAAAATAGGAGGGACCCCTAATCCGAATGCGTCCGTAAGTGCCTCATAAATCACTACAAAAAGGAAACTATTACCATCTGGACGGACTTTGTGGGTTGATTCAGACCACAGCCGGCTGAGTCGGGAGCTTATCCCGCGCAAAAAAAAAACGGAAGCGGTCGGTGTTTCGCAAAAACTGGGCGCGTTTGAAAATATAGGGGAACCCCCTCCTTCAAAATTGTGGTTTCCCTCTTGGTTTCCCTTCAAATCGTACAACATGGGAACCAAACGCCATCCCCCAAGTGGCGCCACCACTGCTGCGTTGGGTGTTCGGTCCCTGCCTGTAAGAGTTGTGCTGCCAGTTTCTGGCCTGGCGTGTCCACCTGCAGTCGACTGGTGCGCCGCGAAAGTTGGCGACCAAGCAACTAAGCGAGTAGCCAAGAGACCAAGCAAGCAAGCAAGCAAGCAAGCAAGCAAGCAAGCAAGCAAGCAAGCAAGCAAGCAAGCAAGCAAGCAAGCAAGCAAGCAAGCAAGCAAGCAAGCAAGCAAGCAAGCAAGCAAGCAAGCAAGCAAGCAAGCAAGCAAGCAAGCAAGCAAGCAAGCAAGCAAGCAAGCAAGCAAGCAAGCAAGCAAGCAAGCACCCAAGCAAGCAGCGAGCAGGTAACCAAGCAACCAACCGACCACACCAATCCGCCCGCCTGAGCCACTAAGCAAAAACCGTTGATAGTGAAAAACAAAAAGCGGCACCTCCAAACCCGATTTCACCAGAAAACCAGTGAGAATGTCCCAGGCCAGTTAGGGTCATGGCTGACAGAAAGACCTGCTTTTGCAGAGAGGGCAACCCGCACTCATGGAGCGTGAATTGCAGCCATATTTCCCACCCACCTCCGCCAAGGAAGCAACCTTCATTCAGGGAAAAGCGCAAGGCACCACAACCTGCCCCAAAATCGACAAACATGGGACCCTGAGGTCAAACCAAACGGATTTTGGGGGAAACCAGAAAGGTAGGCCAGGGGGTTGGATCCTAATTGGCCAAGAATATTTGTGGGCGCTCAAGCCCGGGTCGATTCACGTGCTGTGGCGTTTCACCCTTGGTTGAACAGCACCCGCCCCCATCCTTGATCGTTGAGGTCAACAAGACATGTAGATGATTTGAATAGGAACTCCACACCACATCCACACAAGTGTATGCCTAAAGCAACAATCGCCCGACAAACTGGTCTGCACCAATCGAACTCCCCTACTCCGAATAATCTTGGCACCTGATTAACCCCCCCCCCCCACAAGCAAACAACGAACAACTTCCCTTTTTGCATCCAGCTGGCAACCAATACTTAAGTCCTTCCAAAGGCTCCCGCAACGTTTGGCAACATGACCTCCTTTCATCCGTTTCTTGTACTCTTCAACACCGCCCGAGTAAAGACGCCTGTCTATCAGAAAGAAACAAACCAAGCAACAATTTAAACAAGCGCTTCTGCCGGTGCTTCTGCCAATTCCTAGTCTGACCTCTCGGATCGATCCTTTTTCCTGTCTCCTTACAAGCTCATAAAGGGTACTCCTTTCAAGAACACCTCTGATAGATCCCGGCACTATCCAGACATGGAATTTCAACTCTTCTCTTCCATTGCTGTCCTATTTCCCAGACAGACAGGAAAACAAGGATCCGAGAGGACCGACATGACCGGACTGGATTCATCAGTGTCCAGGATCCAAATTTGTGGATCCCGGACCTTGGGGAAACTGGGCAGAAGGGTGCGTCCTGGGCCCTCGGTTTTTGCACCCAAGCGCTTTTGTCATGATTTCATATGAGTTGCCTACTTGGAAACCAAAATCCAGAAGGGAGAGTTGCAAAACCAGAGTTCTGCGCTGCACCACGGATGTCCGTGCCTCGACGTTCGGGTGCAAGCGCATGGACCAGAAGGATCTCGTCAAGTTCTGCATGACCTGTCGCACGCGCGCTGTTTTGCTTGACAGCTTCACCCGGATTTTCGTTTTCTTCACGTCTGAAACTCTCGGTGAGGGTGGGGGTTGATTCAACAGCACCAAATTGCACCAAAGGCATTTTTGAAGCACTCTCACAACTAGGCGATGCTACTCGGACAGTATAAGACCTGGCCGGGCCACTAAAGTTGGCAGTTCAGATCCCCCCAGGTACCACAGGTACTGCTCACGCCGTGCCGTGGAGACCACAACAAGTCCGGCTAAATGACTCTCCCAGCTGGTGCATCTTCAGTCCCAGCACAACGGGGAGGTGAACTACCACTGCACCGGACCAGGTGTTTTCGGACCCGCCGATTTTTTCATGTGCCGCCTCCTCTGGGATGCCGGCAGTGAGGTTCAGCGTCAGAATCCTTGGGGAAGAAATCTGTGGCGATGCTCTCAACGATGCTTCTCGGTTGCGAAATCCGCTCCCCTGCTAAAAGTGAGTTTAACTTTTAGTGGGTTTAATTCGGGAAAACCCATTTTTTTGGCACAAAAGTTGCTCAGTCCTAACATCCCTTGGCAAAATGCAACAAAGGCTTGGGGAGTTAAAAGGGGTCTGCAACTCATGATTGGAGGGCGCTTCCCTTACATTCCAAAAGGTGCCAAAAGGGGGTCTCTAGATTTGACGGCCTGACTGCATAGGTCATAAGTGGATTGAATCGGTTTGAGCCTCCTGTCAGCGTGACATCCCGTGATTCTTAGGGAACCGCCACAGGCACGACTCTTCAGCGAAACCAGCTGACCTACCCAAAACCCATGGCACAAGCTGAGTGACAACAAATACTCAACACTTGTTGGCCCAATCGAAGTCCAAGAAACACCCACACCTCTGGTTGTGGAAGATCACCTGAAATACAGGATCCATAGCAAAGAACCCTCCATCATAGGGCCACAAGTAGTTCAAAATGCGAAGCCCAGAATATCCCCACCTTGGTCCCTCAATTCCATTTTTCCACTCGCAAGGAAATTGAGACCATGTGGACTCTCCAAAATACACCCTGCCGCAACTCCATTTACCCGAGTTCCTAAAACTCAAGGATACCTTCAACAACCTTGCCATGTTTTTCAGGAGATATGCTTCTCCTTCTGATTTTCGGACCCCCGACATTGCTTGGCGGAAACCATGCGGGAAACCAACATGTTTTTTCACCTATGGACACCATTTTGGGAGCCGACATGTTTTAACCATTTCTTTTGTGAGACCCCACATGGAAAGTGGACTGCACGAGGGCTGCCGAACACTTGCTAGTTCTCAGCAGACAATGAGGAATGGAATGACAGTGACACCTATACACCAACACTTGTGGCTTTGTGGGGAATCCCCTTCCGGTTCATTCCCAACCCTGCTTGGGTCATTCCCTACCAATCGCAACCTGCAAGTTTGTCAAAGAAAGACTCCAAATAACTGTTCAATGGAGGTCAAGATTAAGCCGATTAAGCCAAACCTGAACCCGCCCCCCCCCCCCCCCCCATAACAAAAAACTCCTTCACCCAGAAAGCATTCCCAGCATTGAAAAAAAAAACGAGCCCCTTTTCTCGCACCTGACCTTCAGAGGTCCTCTCCAAAACAATCAACATGGCCCGATTTAGCTCCCTGGCTCGCACCAGCCTTCTCAGCTAAACACGTAACATGCTGTAGATTTGCAGCGCCCGCCTGAAAAAAAAAACACCAGACCAGCTATCAAAAACACAAAAAATCCTCGCCTATGGCTTCCTTTCTTTGGGCATCCCCCCAAACCGGTCCCTCACTCCCTGACTCCCAACCTCCCAAGCCCGACCCGCTGACCCCGACTCGATCCGTCAGATGCGCGTGGAGAAGATCTTCTGAATGGAGGCCTCCGAAGGGCTCCTGAGCCAACAATTTGGAAGCGATCCACTCGAAAGGACTTGGGTCCAAGAAGATTTTTGGCGCAACGGTTGCGGGGAAAAACAACAACAGCACACACACAAAAATCCGCCGACCCTCTGCCTCCCGTCCCAGCCTCCTGCAGAGGGGACCGGCGTGGGATGCAACTGGAAGTGATTGGAATCAATATAGTCCCTGGGGGGCACGCCCGAACCCACATCCCAGTGGTCCGGGACCGGTCCTGGGACCAGTCCTGGGACCAGTCCTGGGACCGGTCCTGGGACTGGTCCTGGGACCCTGGTTCTGCTGTTTCAGATTACTTGCAGTCAGCCAAAGCCGGTGCTGGGACCGGTCCCGGGACCGGTCCCAGGACCGGTCCCGGGAGCAGTCCCGGGACCAGTCCTGGGACTGGTCCCAGGACCAATCCCAGGACCGGGGTTTGGTCCTGGGACTGGTCCTGGGACCGGTCCTGGGACCAGTCTGGGAAGCCGGTCCCGGGATCGAGTCCTGGTGTGACCGCTGGTACTTCAAATTGTTGTGGTGCGACCTTTCCGGACTGGCACCCAGGACGCTGGACAGGGTCCCAGGTCGTCACTGACTGCGACCAGTTGAGGGGGACCAACAGCCTTGTTTCTAGGACCAGCTCAACGTGACTTCGGCACAAACCGGCCCGTGCGGTTATTGACGGAGCTGTCATCTGTCTGACTTTTCCGTTAATCCTTGTGGTAGTAGAGGATCCCTGGATCTATTCTGCAAGAGAGTCCAATACGTCGAGTCAAACCGCGCCAGACTGGGACCAGCCTGGATAGGGTCCCAAGTCCCGGTCCCTGCCGGCGACCGGTCCAGGGCCAGTTTCAGGGCGACCCCGGGAGAGGCGCCAACTCGAAGTGACTTGGGCGCAAGCCGGCCCAAGCGGTAATTAACGGACTAGCTGCCCTATTTCTGACTTTTCCGTTAATCCTTGTTTGTGGTCGTAGAGGATCTTCTAAGTGGTCCCCGGGTTTGCGGACGTGTTTCAGGACCGGTCCTTGTGACTTTTCCCTTAATGCGCCGAGGGTCGGCGGCAGCAGGCGGGAGCCTGGTTAATAAATAAATAAATAAATAAATAAATAAATAAATAAATAAAGAAAGAAAGAAAGAAAGAAAGGCAACAACACACTTGAGCCACAATCCAGCGCCGGGAAGAAGTCTTGCAAAGATGATCTCTGCGAATGATTTCGCGAGAAATATGTGCGACATGTGCACATTGTGGACATTGCGGACAAGTGAATCACGGTCGAAGCAACATGAAAAGCTGCGCGCTTGACATATTCCAAACACAGATGATACGACATTACAGGCACCCCTTAGAGGCCTAAGTGCCCAGGCTGCAAGATGTTCCCGGAAGGTTCAATGGACTAGCGGCTCTCTCTGCTGTCGTATCTCGGGCGAGGGCGTGTACAGATTGGCAGTTGGCAATAGTTCACACCACATTCACCTCCCCTCCTTTCAGAAGCTCGAGTCCCGAAGAAGCTTTCAATGCCCGGTTGAATCATGGGTGTCTCCTTTCTTGGAAGTACCCCCCCCAAAAAAAAAACGCAAAACACGCAAAACACACACATCCGATGAAACCCACATTTGTGGAAGTGCGGCTTCCCCGACCCTTTCTTTCTTTTCAGAAACCAACCGCCCACGCCCACGCCTGCAACACATGGGGGGATGTGCTTCCCCAACCCCCAGCCCCCAGCCCCGAGCTCAAAATCAAAACGGCTGGGCCCTTGGCTCCATGAAGGCAAGGAAGAAGTGCCGGCTGAAGCGCTTACCTGGAGTCACCGGAGCTCAAAGGAGACAGTGGTTCCACTGGAGTCCAGAAATGCGCAGCTCACCGCGATTTCCCGGGCTCCCGGAGATTCACATATATAGATATATATATATATATATATATATATATTGACAATGGTGAGATGGTCGAGCCACTACATCCATCAGAAACAGGTAAGACCAGTTTCCGCCTCAAAGACCAGAAAGAGCGCTTCATACATTCATCCTGATGCGTCTCAGAAATGTCACGTGACTCACTGAGTCACAACCGCACCCAACCCTTCGCCACTTGATTCCTAACCAAACAAAGGCATCAAAGGTACATACCAACAATCCAGGAAAGGGAGGGGGGTTCGCAAAAGGAACACAGTGTTCCACCCTCCAGATTCTAAAATTGTTGGAGGGATGGCATTTGGAGTCTATGTATGGTTGGGAATAGCCCCAAACCTTCAAATTCGTAGGTTTTCGCTTCTCACTTCAGATGCACATGCCATTTGCAGACATGCTTCCCTCAATGCCACATCACTTGCTTGGGGTAGAGGGACTGAGACCCAAGTTTCTCCCACAGCTGACCGGTCATTACGCCAATCTCCCGGTGGGACCTCAACACGGGGAATTTGTGCGGCATTCTTTTGGTTGCACATCGAAAAGGCTGGCACTTGGGCCAGCAGTACGGGCCAAACATCCCATCAACGGTGCCCCTTGACCCGAAGTGGCCCATTTCTGCCCCTTGACACGTCGTGCCGCGGCGCAAATCTCCAGGTTCTGCGAATCCGGCGCCAGCAAGGACGGAAGGAAAGAGGTGTCCCGGATGGCCACGAAGTGCCCGTCTTCCATTCGGTAAAATCCTGGAAAGCGACCCAGCAGCAAAGCTGAGTCTGCGTCTCTGGGCTTTTCTTTGGTGTTCTTCCATGTTCCCGAGACGGACTCTGCCTTACTTCCTGGGGTGGCAACAAACGAGTCCAAACTTTTTCTGGTGTACAACCAAAATGGTGTTCTTAAAAGCATGAAAGCCCAGCGGTTTGTCCCGCACCACCAGCCTATGGTTTTTTTCAAACCTGCACAGGTGTGCTTGGGCTTAAACGTGGCTGCCTTTTTTCAACAACATGTCCCCCTATTGACAAGTGCCCCCTTTTGATAGTATTTTCCTTAGACCCAACATTTCCCTATACTGCCCACCCCAACTTCAGTTGTTTTAGGGGCCTCTCTGACTGCCCCCAAAGATATGTGAATTTAGCCTGTAAATTCAAATATGATTGTTAATTCATAAAACAAATCATGTGCCTTACGGTTTTTGTGCGACCGGATTTGGACGAGGACCGTAGCAGAACCTTTCTGGGACCCTATTATTAAATCCATTGCTCTGCTCACGGAGTGGCTTTATGCGGTATTTGGAGGGGGGCGGGTATTTATCAGGGAGAACGGATTACTCCGACATGAGTGGCGGGATGAATGCATTATCCAGCGGTCATGATTGGGGTTCATCTCGGGATGCTTTGCACTCGCCTCGCACGAGATCACAGATTTGTCCGCAAGTGGACCCCCCAAAATTGGCAAAAGGTTCGGTGTCATGGTAGGTCTCAGTCTCCTTAAGAAACAAAACATGAATGCAGACCAGTAGGAGAAGGCCACCTTTCATCATGGAAACCTAGTGCCCGAAGGGATCGCCTCTGAAGGGAAGTGAAACAAGTGCGATGGCCAGTACTTGGATGATCCATATGGGTGTGTCTTCGGTCCAACCTTGAACAAGACACACTACACACACACACACCCATGCACGTATATACTTCTTCTTTTTTCTGTGCGCAAATGAGCTGTAGATGCTTTCCGCTACCCCCATTGCCTGTGCGATTCGTTCGGGAGAGCAAGACCCTTGCGACAATAGAAATGGACCAGTCTTCAAACCTGTCATTATTGGAAAGAGGGCAATAGGGGCGAAGAGCGCTTACACACCTTACCTTATGATGATGACTTAATCTAGGCTTGAGCTGCAGTACACTGCCCCTTCCACAGAAGCTCAGGCACTTACAACTAGGTCCTCCAGTCGAGAGGTTGGAATAAGGGTACCCTTTTTTCTGTAGTCTATTTCAGTAGGAGAACCCTCCCCCAAAAAAGTTGGTGAGAGGGCACCTAGCTGGGGGACCTAGACAATTCAAATGTTTTTGAAAAGCCGCCCTCCCAAACTCGGTTGACGTTGGAAGGGGAGCAAAACTCTACATTTTAGCAGTTAAGCGGTTGGATTTCAACCACTAGACCACAGCAAGCGAAAATGTTTCCAATGTTTCCCAACAACAACCATGACTGGGTAACTTGTGCCTTCCTGGTCCCTCTGACCCAGGGCTTTCACTCCAGTCGCCAGGTATTGTGCATCCAAGTACACGATAGGGGTCTCTAGAGACAGGGTAAGCAGATCTCCAAACTCCAAAAATGTTTCCCCCCCAAAAAAGTTTCCCCCAAACTCCAAACTCCAGGAAATCCAACATGTTTCCTCCAACAACCCCTGGAGGTCTCCAAACGCTTTGGACTCGGAGTCGCAGTCGACGTCGACGTCGGGTCGTAAGCGCGTCCTTGGGCTTCCAGGGCAAAGCGGATCCACTCCCCGAGCCGTGTCTGGCCCGGGCCTGGCCCGGTCGAAGCCGAAAAAACCCGAAGCACCGAAGCACCGGACGACCAGACGCTGGGGCTGTGATGTAAATGGTGGCGAAATCCAGTTCGCACCTGAGAAACCCTGGTTTCAGAGGATTCCCTTGTAATGCTTGTAAATTCCAACGAACAATGGTTTCCATGGCTTCTTTGGTGGTGCAGGATTTAGTCCATCCACAGTATGAACAGAACCCCAAAACTAAAAGAACCACTTCAAATATCGGGGCAAGGTGAGAAACAGAATCCCGAACTAAACGACATGCCGAAGGCAGAAGAAGGTTGGGGAGATCAGGTCTGACCATATCTGGGGAAACAAGAGGGAAAAGTTGAAAGGGGTGAATGGACCTTCACCAAACCAAGTGGCGCAGCCTCTGATAGCCCTGGAGGATTTGGAAACGAGTTGCGAGGAATGCCGGAATGCTTCCTAAAGCATTCCAAGGACCTGTCCAAACCCCGCTGCTGCTTTTCAAGGCCATGTCTCTCAATCCACCGAAGGGGTGTTTTCAGTGGGAACGTTGGATTCCTGCTTCCCTTTTGAAGCAGCAGTGACGCTTGTAGCTTTCAACAACTTTTGCCCACGTCAATGATTCTGCACGGCCAAAATTCCTGGATGGCGAACCCACAGCGACCAACTCCCCAGGGCCAAGAAAAACAGTCGAATCACACTAGGATAAGCCAACTCGGAGGATCCTTGAAATGAAACCTAAGCTGGAAAATCTGGAGGCGTCTCAAACTAGGGCACCCCCCTAAATGGCATCGGCTTTCCTTTTCTTGCTCTTTTAAGTCAATGCAAGAAGGGGGAATTCAACCTGGCTGTGGCTCAAAAGGTGGTACCCATTTTTGGGCCCCTTGGATTGAAAAAACGACCAAGACCTGCGTACCCCCAGCTCTTTAATTTGAGCCACACCCACCTAACAACACCGAGGACCCGCCCGACGACCGCAGCCCGGGCCCTCACAACGACCGGATCCCGGAGCCTGGCCCGGCACCCACCTTGGGGGGGCTCACCACTGCTGTCCGGTGTATTTGGAGCGTCTGGGCTAAAATGGCACCAAAACCCAAAAAGTATGAAGTCCGGACACTTGGGTCAGAACCTGGATGAGGGATTTGTGCATCCTCGAGTGTCCAAAAGCAGTCAAGTTGAAACATGCTGGTTCTTGATTCTCCGCCCTGGAAGATCAAGACTACCTGCTGCAAACAGCCCCTGTTCTGGCAAAGCAAATCTTTGTTTGCTCCAGATATTGACAGAGGTCCCATCCGGTTTCATGCCTGTTCGATTTCAACGGTTCCGTGCTTGTACAAGGTCGGCTTCTCCTTCAAACAGGAGGGCCGTTTCAGGTTCACCCAGTAGTGCATCATGTTGATCAGCCAGGGGTGTTCAAGAGTCCTGCTGACTACTAGCCAGCCCCCCCCCAAAGAAAGAAAGAAGGAGGTCACATAGCAAGTTTGATAGCCATTTTTCCGTTTGGGAGTCCGTTTCTTGGAATGATGTCCCTTCCAAGGTGTCTTTGGTTCGCCAACATGCAACTTGGTGAGTCGAAAAGAACCCCCCCAACACAACACCAAAACAGACAAACGGCAACCGTTTTGTTGTTGAAGCGGAGGCTCTTTCAGCTGTCTTCTTTGGCTTCCCGCCAGCAAAAAAACGAGGGGCCCCCCCATAGTTTGAGGCTCCAAGGGCGGCCTTTTTAGGCCGCAAGTCGTCCATTGCCCCATTGCCCCATTGCCAGCCGCGTGGCATCGCTGAGATGCAAGTCCTGGGTGCTCCGAATGGAGAAGCTGACATCGCAACGGCAACTGCATTGCGACCGACCCGCAGATTGGAGTGTGACATTGAAGCATACCTGGGTCATCTTGAAAGAACCCACAATTGGACTCTCAAACTTTGGTTGCTCTTCGCAAAACTCGTTCTTCACTCGTGTTTGAGGGACGGAGGTTTGACTCGAAGACAACCTTCACGGGAAGAGACGCGTCTCACACAACACCCTAAGCATCGTCAAAGGGGGAAAGAGACCTCCTTTGAAAGGTTTTGGGATTCACCTTTTTGAGGAATTCTTGGTGCTTAGGGCAAGACCTACTTCCCTTTGCTTTGTTGCCCTGGAAAACATGGGAACACATTTCCAGTAGTGATAAACTCCGATTCAACCAAAAGCGGAGCATATAAAACGCCAGTAGTGATAGAGTACCTTTAAAACCAACAGGGAAAATATAAACCGCCAGTAATGGCAGACTCCCTTTGAAACCAGCAGCGGAAAATATAAAACGCCAGTAGTGACAGAGTAACTTTAAAACCATCGATGAAAAATCAAAAAGCAAACAGTAGTGATAGACTCCCTTTGAAACCAACAGGGGAAAATATGAAACGACAGTAGTGCTGAGTACCATTAAAACCAACATGGGAACATATGAAACGCCAGCAATGATAGACTCCCTTTGAAACCAACAGCGGGCAAAATAAAACACCAGTAGTGATAAAGTACCTTTAAAGCCAACAGGGGAAAGATAAGCAAACAGTAGTGATAGACTCCCTTTGAGACCAACAAGGGATTCTCTTTTCAAGAGAGAAAAAAACACGCCGTAGTGCTTGACTCGCTTAAAAACCAACCGGGGAAAATCAAAAACTAGTCTCAAGCCAATGGAAGCACAACTTTCACATACGGCCGCGTGACATCAATGAAGACCACCAAGCGCTTCTCGTTCCCCGGCGCCAAGATGCCGGCGCCCTGGCCGCCATCGACCCCTCGATCGACGCAAACAAAAGCAACGCCACTGTCCGAAACACTGGGCTGTGTCTTTCTTGTTTAGCTATCTAACGACATTTCTGAGCATGGTTTGCCATTCAAACGTTGCATGTTGTATTTATCCAGTTGTTGTTTGAACTGTGTCATTCGGTTTGACTATTCATTGAGCTTCCATTGCAGAGGTTAATTTCCAGCTGCCAATGCCTACAGGCGCCAAGGTGGGTGAACTGTCACTGCAAAAGCCGGGCCACCGGGTCTGGTGCAGAAGGGTTCCAAACAACTTCCGCCCCCAACAACTGTTTTCTGCACAGCTGGGGTTTTGGACATGGCCACAAAAATGACCGTCTTTGGGTTGGGCTTGGAACCGAAGACACGACTGTTCTTGGTGGCTCCCAGCCACCCCCTTAGCTTTTTAGCCTTTTAGTGTTTCGTGGTGGTTTCCATTTAACCCACTAAAGGTTAGTCACTTTTAGCAGGGGATCAGAAAACTAGCACCACACATAAGCAGGTCAAATCAGCGTAGAACGAACGACTGATTATACATACACCCCTCTCTGTCTATACATATGTATGCATATATATATATATAGGTTTATATAATTATATAAATAATCACACATACGAACACACAGGTAAAGAAGGTCAGTATAAGTACAAATCGCACGAACGGGTAGCAAAGAAATCATTCAGGAGTGGTAGCCATTTGGGTGTGTCTTGTTTTGAGGGTGTCCCCTTGGTTGGTGGTTTTAAAGGGACACCAACAGGGAAACCACAAATTTGTGGGGTCCCCCAAAAAAACAAACACACCCCATTAACCACTCAACTCAACTCATTTAATACGAAATGCCCCTATCTTGATGGTTTTCGGAGCCCCTTTCGTTAACAAGCCCGGCAAATTAAAGGGGACCCACAAAAAAAACTCCGACATCTCCAGGAAAAAGAGTGCAGAAACGGTGGGCACAGCATTCAATCCACCTGCTTAGCTTGGTTTTATTGGGACCCTCCAACAAACAGATTTACGATTCATCAAGATTTCTCCTATCCAGGGCTGCGGGGAATGATTACTTCTATGATACAACAGAAAGGGCCTAACCCCAAAGATTAATTTGTTCATAGAAAGTAGAGAGGTTAGAATAAGGGTACCTTTTTTGGTAGTCTATTTTAGTAGGGGAACCCTCCCAACCACAAAACGGGTTAAAAAAGGGCACTACTGGGGGACCTAGCTTGTATTATAGAAGTGGCAACCACAACCCTGAATCCTATCCCTTCGCGACCCCTTCGCGCGACCTAAGCCCGGCCTGGGGTCCACACCCCGCCCTTGGCGCCTCGTTGCGGGAAGCTGTGCCGGCTGAAACAAATTGAGTCAAAACCTGGTGTTACAATGGTCGATCCCCAGAAACATGCTTTAAGAATATAAAAGGCCGCGCCGATTGATGCCTGGGATTTTCCGAATTCCTTCAATTTCCCCGGTTTTGATTGTGACTTCGACCATCCCAAAGGCTGGTAAAGGGTGGAACAATCTATGGTCAACATCTAAAGGCGCATGACCCGAAAGCTGTCGGCCTTCAAACAACCTCCATTTGAGGCCATGGCCAACCATTTTGAGTAACCCATTGAGCAACCCATTGAGAGGGTCGATTTCTTGGAAGGTGAAAAGGGTCCCCCCCCGCGCCCCCCCAAGGGAGATTCCTCAACGTTTTGTTCTTTTCTCCGTGTTCATCTGGAGCATGCTGGTCCAAAAGTGCCCGGTTTCGACACCGGCCATTCGGCAAGCTCAAGCTCCCTGATGGCTCTACCGAATGGTCAAGCGAAATCATTTCGCAGCTTGGGTTGTAGGCTTAAACCCAAAAGGACCTTTTTTTTTTCTCTCTCTCTCTCTCTCTCTCTCGACACCGCTGACATGGAACGCCATATCCAGACATAGTCAGCAGGGCCACGGCACACCGCTGATGGGGTAAATGGTTTCGGTTTGCTTTCCCCTTTTTGGGCATTCAAGGCGGGCAAACTCAGATCCCGTTGACGGGAACCCAAACCATGGAAAGAATGCACCCAGCCGCATGGGTGATTGGGAACTTGCCGAACAAATTTGCGTTCAAAGGCAGACATGTATACCCTTCAACGACTAAAGATATGAGGCCCAAAAGATCATGCTGCAAGCAAATGAAACGGGGGAGAGAAAAATCGTATGGGGAGCCCTGCCAAAGGGTCACGAATCCGAGGTGTGCCAATCCGAGAACTGCATCAGAAGGCGGGGGGTTGGGTTACTTTGCGAGCGTGTCACTTTTTTTTTTGAACCAGCTGTAGTGGCAACGCCATGAGACTATGACAGGAGTTGTATAGCATTGGCAAAAGTGTTGGCAACAGTGGAAGCCCCCTCCCCCTCCACCCCCCTCCACCCCCCTCCACCCCCCTCCCCCTCTTCCCCTCCCCCGCCCTCCCGCCCTCCCCCCCTCCCCCCCCTCCCCCCCACTCTTCACACCAAAGGTGGAAGCCCCCCCTTTCCCCCTGACCTACGAGCTGTATTGCCGGCCCAACACTCCCCCCCTCCCAGCCGTCCGCCAAAAGCATCGAGGCGCGAGGTTCAGGGTCAACGCCTTCTGGATCTCCCATGGGCTCAGCTCAGGACAGCTGTGCAGCAGCCCGGCCTCGAACTTCCCCCCGAAACCCCCCTGGGAAGCCCCAGACCCGGTGACCACTTGCGGAGCTCCTTTGGACTTTGATCCGTTTCTGGAAATTACACCCTCAGCTCACACCCGTTGGAAATAAACTCACCCAGAATGGTTCAACATAACACGGACTTTTTGTCCAAACATGTGCCTAAATGGGGTCAATACCCAGTGGGTGGATTATTTTTCAGGGGGTGTATTCCCAGGGTGTAATACAAAAACCCTTAGATTTGATCGGTTTTGGCTAGAGCTAAATGGCTGTGGTGGTCACAACCCTTTGGGGATCCCATTTTGGTTGGTAGGTGAATTCACCACCCATTTTAGAACCTATTTGAGTGGGGATTGGGATGTTCACTGGGGGTACGATTTGGATTTTGACCCATGGCCAAATGGGTTCACCTGGTTCGGCTTGGTTTTATGCCATCCATTTGGCCGGGAAATCCATCTTTTTTGGGCTTACAGAACCCTGGAGGCGTAGGCTTGGGAAGACCACACACAAATGGGTGTGGCTCAAAATTAACCAGGAGGGGCAAACAGCAGGTGTTGGTCCATTTTTCCACTTACCAGGGTTTCATTTTGGTATCGGTATTTTGAGCCACAGCCAAATACTAGAATTTCCATGGCGACTCTGGAGGGGGTGTCTTTCACCAAGCGTCGCTTCTCGGATTATTGTTCAAATCCGTCGAGCTTTTTGGTTCTAGGCACTACCAACATGGTTGCAACAGCTCCATTGCTGTTCGTACAAATCGGGCCCAAAGGTGAAGTTACCAAAGTTCCAAACAAGAAGCCCTTTAGGCCTCCAGATGAGAGTTTGGCAGTTCAGGTTCTCGGAAAGCGTCTCCGAATTCCCCGCACCCTCCCAGAAAGCTGTCCACACCAACTTTTTCCCACTTCCAGAACACGAAGCCATGACCCGCAACCATCTTCCAGGCCATTTGGGTGTGGGCCTTTCGGTTTCGCCGCGTCACTCGGACGGATCGTAGCTCTTAGGGCCCCGCAAACAGGGATCCTTACATTATACACCTGAACATGGCCTTGTAAATGGTGGTTTCCCTTTATTTTGGTGTTGAAAAAGCAACATGTTTCAACTGGTCACATGTATCTTTTAAGGAGCCATGGGAAATGCAAGGTGATCGATCACCTTTTCGGGCCACAACTGGTCCAAGGGGACACCAGAAGTTGCCGATTCGCTTCGGGCAACTGTAGTGATGAAACCTAAGCCCCGCAAGTCGCAACACCCATGGATAAAACCTCACTTCAACGCCCTGTCCCTTGTCTCCTTCACTCTCTGAAGGGTGACATGTGGATACGACTTCTTGGACCCTCCAACTACCCATCAAAAAGCGAATCCCCAGAAGTTTGGCGCCATGACCCATTTTTAAGGGCATTTTTCAGGCTCCAGGTTCTGAAAAAGCACCCCAAAAGATGGCCGCCTTCAGGAGTCGGCAAGTAGCATGAGCAAGCCAGCATGGACTTGAACATTTTTTCTTGTTTTTCTTCCGGGGGGGGGGGACATCTGGGGGGGGGACATCGGGGGGGGGGACATCTGGGGGGGGGGACATCTGGGGGGGATGGGGGACACATGATAATTACCGGAGACCCGGTTCTCTTTAGCTGAGCAGCCATGGACGAGGACTTGCATCCGTGCAGGTAACCTGAGCGACAGCTTGGGACCTTCTGGAGGCATGGCCTTGGACCTCGGCTTCTGCCAAGCTTTTGTTTTGAAACATATGGGTGTGGCTCAAAATGAAACAGGAGGGGCAAACAGGCGTTAGTCCATGTTTCCACTTACCAGGGTTCCATTTTGGTGCCGGGTTTTTGAGCCACTGAACAGCTTTAAAAAACACAAATACTGTGGATGCTTGCGAAATCCATTTCGCACCACTTTTTGAACCCATGAGAAACCCAGTATTTGTTGGTATTTATACGGGAATCATCAGAACCAGGGTTTCTTAGGTGGTGCAGAATTCCGTCCATCCGCAGTATGGTGGGTCTTGAGCCAAACAGATCCCAGTCACAAGGGAATCTGAGGAAACCGCTGTTCAGAATGCTTTGCCCACCCGAAGAGAGTCGAAAAGCCCCGCTGCTACAGTCCCAAAAGCCCCGCTCCCTCCGGCCGCACCGAACCCCGCTCCCTCTGGCCGACCCGTAGCCAACCCTAAACCAACCCACAGCCCACATCAAGCCCGGAGTGAGATTTTCCACGGCCAGGGCGGAACCGGGGCGCGGAAAGAGGCAGAGTGACCACCCCTCCAAAATGGGAAACACATCCACCAGCACATCCCCCCCAAACAAAAGAAACTTGTTGGGCACTGCTTCGTGGTTTGGGGATGGGAAGAACACTTGTTTTCCTTCTTGTGGTGACTGACAGGTACGTGGCATCCAGGTACCCTGCCACAGGTGCTATGTGTGAGTGCTTGAATTCCATGCTCTTTGGCTAGTTGGCGATGTTCAAATCCGACTTTCTCGCTAACTTGAAACATGCTTCTCGGTTTAGTGGAGCTGGTACCCTGGTTGGCTTCCAATGAGACCCGAAAAGGAAACCCGTTGCCCCATTTTTGCGGGGTCCCCCCAACAAGAAGGACACGCTCAAGCAACCCTAAAGCAGCGGTGTCTGTTGGGCTTCCCATATTTTGAACAAATGCCATGCGGGCCCGATTCCAAAGAGTTGATACAGCCACTCAACCCCAACCCCTTCCTTGGAGCCCCAAACCAACCCGGCCATGTTGGGGCCTAAAACGCGACTTAAAACGAGCAACACCACACCACCCCCCTGTGCGTGCTTTTCCAGGCCAATTTGGGGGTCAAGGATCCCCAGAACGAGGTCCGATCCCCAAAACGCGCAGAAAACAAAACGCGACACCGGGTGCCCGGGCGCAGCAGCGCGCTCTTGCCGGAGCCCCCAGTGCCGGCCAGCAGAACCGGGGCGCCGATGGCCAGCAGGCGGCGCAGGCGCAGCTGAAAGGCCACCTCCAGCGAGTGAGGCTTCGGTGGTGTGAAACAAAAAAGGCACGGCTTTTTTGGGGGGTTGGCTTGTAGTTGTTTTTTTGGCTTTTACTTGGGAACAACAGGTTGATCACAAAGGGGCTTGATCAAAAGGTCGATCAAAAGGGGGTTTTGTATTTGGCGTGAACATGTGGAGGTTGATCAAAAGGTCCGAAATAGGTTGGATGACCATTGGTTGGACAACCACAAAGCGTCCCACTAAATGCGACAATTCACTCATGGTCATTTGGTGGATTGTTTCGCAAGCCACGTGCAGCGTGGGTCCAGGAGTGATACTCGGGTTTGGCTGCCCCCACTATGGCTTGTATTTGTATCCTTTGGTTTTCCTAGGCAACAACCAAGCTTTGGTTTTGCCTTCAAACAACCAAGCTTAAGGGGATTCTTCCAACCAACTGATTTTGCCACCCCCTCAACATTTCTGGTTTTTCTACCATGCAAGCAAAATCCACTTGGTACTGTCCAAAAAGACACTGTTGGGGGGTGCTGGTTGTTAACCGGTTTGCTTGGTTAAGCGCTGTTGGCTGGCTGGCTGGCTGGCTGGCTGGCTGGCTGGCTGCCTGGCTGGCTGGCTGGTTGGCTGGCTGGCTGGCTGGCTGGCTGGTTGCTTCGCTGCTTGTTTGATTGGTTGCTTCCTCAAACTTGCTGGGATTGCATGTGCTAGCTGATGGTTGCTCATTCTAGTATGTTCTCACTTTGCCCAACACCAATAAGTCATGGCAGTGGTGCAAGACACGAGGGCGCCAGAGGGGAAGAGTCCTCTGGCCTTGGCTCTGCAAACCTAGCACCGCAACGCTCACAGGGCCGAGCCGCAAACTCCTCCGTAGCGACACCTGGGTTCAAAGAAAGCGCGCCCGCGGTCATTCCCTGAGGATCCCCCCTGGCCAGAAGGGCAAACCCTTCTGAATTTGGTGTCGTTTGTTCAGGGCCCTCTTCGGTTTTCCTTTTGAGGTTTCCTGGTAAAACGACAACAAAGGGGCTCCAACTCCAAAAAAAGACTTCCTTGTGCCTTGGTCGAGCCCAAACTGATCAACCATGCATAGGGTGATTCCCAAACAGGTGAAGAATGCCCCTATTAGATGGGGCCCTCTACCAGTCAACCAGAATCTTTGTTCTGGGGTTCCCTGTCATAGCTTTCCTTTCGACTTGCCGCAAATGATCCCCTGGAGGGCGTTACCATTTGAACTGCACCCAGTGACTTGCAATGGTAAAACCAAGCATCCCACAACTGCCGCAGGCCAAAAAATCATTCCCTCTTCGCGTTCTCGCATTGTTTCCAAATCCCATGCTGTCCCTGCCAGCACCCTCCAATGCCAGCACCCTCCCTGAAGCTGGGGGTTTCTTTTTCAGCTTTTCGTTTCTGATTGTCCTCTCCCCCCCCCACCGGAGAAAAAAGGTCCGTCATCTCAGCTGGGGGTTCTGAAGCTGCCGCCTTTTTCAGCCTTTCTCTGTCTTGCCTGCCCCCAAAAAAGATAATACAAAAAAAGGTCCGTCAGCTCAGGCCGAAGGGCAGACATGATGGCACTCCACGATGGGCTCCGTCAAGTGCACAATCTTCCCCACCGCTTGGAATTGGCCCGTCTTCGAGTCCTCGGCTGGGTTTGGGGAGTCCCGAACAAAGGACACCACAATGGTGGATGGCTTATATGGGGGTCAGTCCATTTCTCATTCCCTGCCTATGAAACCAGCAAGGCATGAGTACATTTGTGGGAGAACTGTTAGATGAAAGTCAAAATTAAGCAAGACGTGACCCGGCCACCAACATGAAAACCATCCCTATTGGTGAGCTGATTTGCCGCGATGCTACTGCCTGCATTCCTGAGGTATCTTGCCAAACACCCTTGGCTTAAGATAAATCTGGGCAAATGACGTATCTCAAGGGGTTTGGTTGCAGGAAAATCTACAGGATATGGCCTAAACGAGCTGTTTTCCTGTCGAATTTCCTGTCACCCATTTTTTGAGTATCGTAATTTTGAAGCTGGAAAGAAGGAGCCACCCAAGAACAGCCTGTTGCACAACCCCGCGCTCGAAGCGCTTAGCTTCGAGAAGCTTCGACCCATGGAGGTCCTTTTGAGGTTCCGTGATGCAGTTCAGGGGAACTTTTGGTTGCACCGCCCAACCACAAACACCTCCAGCCACGCAGAAACCGATCAAACAAACAGAGCACCGTCTTGGGTGGACACCTCCAGAAAAAAAGAAGGCGCACAGGAAACCTCTGGAAGAAGTGAAGAGGGGGAAGATCTAGGGGTTGATTCCAACCATTCTTTTCAACCTTGGCTTTTTTTTGTACAGCTGTTTCCCCTGGGGTTCTGATGGTTTTCTGGAAAGAAGGATCTCTGGAAAGAATGGGGAAGTGTCCCCTAGAGAAGAGTCTTCTTTCGCCGAGCTTCCAGGTACAGGTCATAGAGCGGTGGAAAGCTGTTGGCGTGAATTGGATCCAGCACGTTCTCTCGGATGTAGCGCTCGAAGCGGGGCCTGGCGATGCTTTCAACGACAAGTCCAAAAACCGTGCTGTCCATGGACACTTGGGTGGTGAGTCTGTTTGTTTTCAATTGTACCCTTTCTTGGCGTTCATTCTTTGTCAGGGAAACCAACAGGGAAAAAAAAGGCGCCAGTCTCTTGATCCCACCCCCCCACCTCCACCCCACCCACCCCCACACTTGACCCCCCCAAACCCCTCCCACCTGCCCCCCCACCCCTCCCACCTGCCCCCCCACCCCGTCCATACATATTTTACCTTCTGCATCGGAGATCCAGCCAAGGACCCGCAAGACCCCCCACCCACCCTCCCACCCCACCCCCCCGTCCCCCGTCCCATGCCATCCCCGTCCCGTCCTCTGGGAGGTGAAGAGGGAGGCCCCGAAGGCCGCGATGGAGGACATGCCGATCAGCAGCCGCACCTCCCGCTCCAGCGCAGCCTGGCCTCGCAGACGAGTCGCAGACGACGACGCGAATCGACGACTCGAATCGGAGGACTCGAGGATTCGAGGCTTCGCGGCTTCGGCGTGGCGTTTTTTCTTTTGCCACGGGGAAAGGGTGGAATGCATTTTTCCCCCCTTGTTTCTTTTTGTTTTGTAGAACACATAAAACAAAAAGAATAACATACGGGGTGACCAACCCGACTTTCTCTTCTTTGTGTGTTTTGTTGGGGGTTGGGGGAAGTTGAACCTGGAGATTTGGACCACGCACTAGAAGAGGTTCCGTTTGTCACTCTTGGACATCTCTCCAGGCGATTTTCATCTGAATGCGCTGGCCGTTTCAAGCCACTGGAGTTGCAACCGAAAAAAAAAAAAAAAAAAAAGGATGGAAAACACAGAGCCCTTCCACCCCCCAAATTTCGAATGGTTCCATTGGGACTTGAAAACGGACCTTGAAAAAGAAGCAGAGTTACACAAATAAGCAGCATGGCTTTGGCTTTTCCTTAGCTAAGTCAAGTTACGCAAATTTTCGATTGATTCCATTTGGACTTGAAAACGGACCTTGAAAAACAAGCAGAGTTACACAAATAAGCAGCATGGCTTTGGCTTTTCCTTAGTTAAGTCAAGTTACGCAAATTTTCGAATGATTCCATTTGGACTTGAAAACGGACCTTGAAAAACAAGCAGAGTTACACAAATAAGCAGCATGGCTTTGGCTTTTCCTTAGTTAAGTCAAGTTACGCAACCCTGAAATTGCATAACAAACTTGCATATGAAATCTGGGCTGCCCTCAGATCCCGAATACGAAAACTTTAGTGGGTTAAATATAAACTACCACTAAACACTAAAAAGGCTAAAAAGCTTCTGAACCGGATGGCTGGGAGCCGCCGTGACATGGCAAAGCTCCCCAAATGCAATTCGTTCTTGGCACGGGAGTTTTAATCCGGGTTTCTATCCCCAGGGTTTCTTAGGTGGTGCGAAATGGATTTCGTCTTTGTCTTTGTCATCCATTTCCTTTGTCTTTGTTGTTCGCTCTCTTGACTTCCTGAACGCTTGCCAGACCGCCAAAAAGCTGCGACTTGTCGCTGGTAAGGGAAGACCCAGGAAAACCAACAAGGCGGAAAGTCTACCATTCCACAATTCATACTCTTTGCAAAAGCCGAAAAGGTGCACCAGGTGAAAGTAGTTTGCACAAATCTCTCTACGTGGGCTTAAGTAAAGGGAATGGCTGGACCAAAATCATGGAAATGTGGCATCAACTTTCACCGTTGCTCTTCCTGAGCAAAAGGTCGTTCAACGACCTTGTGCAGGTTTGTTGGAAAGGCCAAGTTCGCAAAAGTCTGTGGCCAACTCAGGTCACACCAAAGACCACTGGAATCCTTTTGGCAGTGGTTTGTGGCCTTCTGTCGAGTTGGCACCCCTTTTTTTGGTAATACCGAAATCCACTTATTAAAACGCCCCCCTCCCCCTCCCCACCCCGAAAATCCCCCCCGAGACCCACCAGGCGGGGTTTCGGCACGTCGTAACGTCGGCACCTTCCTTGGTGGCGCTGTATAGCTGCTTCTCCACCACCGGGTCCACCAGCAACGAGGTCAAACAGGACAGGAAGCAGGTGGTCCTCAGCCCAAGCAAAATGGGCGGCCTTCGGTTCCATTTCGGGTGCAAAAGAGTCCAATGGGCCGTATGGGGACCCATGGGGGTTGGATCTATAGCGCGTGGGGGTTGGGCGAAACAAACCCACCGGACCAGGACTCGGAGGCGGGAATGACACCTGTGGTTTCCACTGGTGGTTTCTCCTTTAAGGGGACCCCATTCCCTGAGCACCGGCAAGAAAAGCTCACAGACGTCTAGGAACCTCTGTGCGTTCTTCAAACCTTGTAGTTCAAAAAACGAAGACAGGTCGTAGCACCCCCTTACCCTACGCGCGGGTGCTCCATGGGCGTCTTGCCCCCAGAAAACCCAATGGATTTCCGAGCTCTGAGGCAATGTACCAAGACTCCGGGGAAAACCTTACAAGGGTTGATCATCACTCCGCAAGGAACTCACACTTCCAATTGAGCCATGTCCTAAACGTGTCATGATTTGCTAAGTCGTATCATTTTGATTACGCCACTAGCTTACGCCACCTTACGCGCGTGGAGTGTTTCCTTACGCGACACATTTGGAGGTTTTGCTTACGCCAATAGCTTACACCACCTTACACACGTGGATTTGTTGCTTACGCACAGGTCGATATGACACGACTCTTACTAACCATGTACACGGAGGTTTTGGACGCCGCTCAATTGAGGTCACTGCAAGGTGTCAGCCTTGCTATTTGCCACTGAAGTGGTCTTCCCAAAAAGTTTAAAGTCCAGGAACTCAGAAAATGAGAAATCATGAGAAACCACACCAGGGTTCATCCTCCTCCTTCTTGCTTTCGACATCCCCTTCCGTTGCTCGAAGAAGGCAACTCACTCAGCCGCGGGGGTTCCGATGGGAACTTTCCGCAGAATCTTCCAATGGCACCCCCAAAGTAACAAGAGTCAACACGAGGCAGGCCAAAGAAAAGGGGTTCGTTGCAAGCGGGAGGATGAAGAAGAGTGCCATGGAGTCCAACCAACAAGCATGGAAGAACAAAGCAATCGGAGCACCAGAGGCGATGTACGGCACATCAGCAAACGCCTGGCCCGAAATGAGGGCTCACATCTCATTTCCACTGGCCCTTTGTTGCCTCCTATGCGAAGTGGTTGGACAGGAAAAAGCGGTTGGCCATCTTTGGCTCCCGAGATTTTAGGCCCAACGGTCCCAAGTCCTAGGGTCCTAGGAAAGGAGCCTGTCCATGTCGAAGGCACTGCTTTTAGAAGCCTTCAGACGGGCTGTCAACCCCTCGAATCCGCCGAATACGAGGGGCACCCCCCCACAAAAATGGCCCCAATTTCCTGGCTTGCTGGATTTTTTCCCGCTTGCCGGGCGTCTGGTGCCGATAGTCCAGCGCCTCACCTGGCAAACGGCGGAAGGCGCGGGGCAACGGAGGCAGCTCCCTCGGCTTTTCTTTGGGTATCCGGGAAATGAATCCACATGGCGCAGAGGCTGAGGAGGCAAACACTTGCAGCATTTGAACATGGCCGGGGAAGTAGGAGAAGTAACCTTGGCTTGTGGAGCCAGTCAAACAATCTGAACACTCTTACTTCAAGGCAGAAAGACCACTAGCTCTTGGTATCAATTTGAGGCCCAACTCAATAGGCTTCGATTTGATCTGTTGCATATCCCTAAATCGGAGGTGCCCACTGGTTCCCGGCCTTCGGTCGCCGCTCCAGAACTCTCAGGGTTGTAGTGGAAGTAGTAGAGCACAAATGCCAGAATGCTGTCCTCGCGAATTCGGATTCGCCCCGACGATGCTGGCGACAAAAGCTCAAATTTGCCCGAGCAAAGGAGAATCCAACATGGCCGCGCTAGGGAGATGTTGAAGGGGAAACTGCAGGATAGTCCTTGGGATGATGTTACGTGAAACTTCAAAAGGAGAGCCACCATTTTGAGCGGCGCCCGATTTTAGGCAGCAGATCTCTTGCACATTGCCATGTGGCCTTTTCAAGCTGCAGTGGACATGGGGAGCAAAAGCGAAAGTTCGGAATGAAAACTGCCCCAACGGGGGGGGGGGGGGGGGGCAAAAAGAGCACCCGAAGGCTGTCGATTCTTGGGTCCTCCAAAACGGCTTTTTGAAGCGAAGGCCCCGGGCGAAGAAACCAACGGACCCCGGACAGGGTCTGAGGTCCCGGTTCGTTCCACCAGTCTGGGCTAACCGGCACACCCACCCGGGCTCCATCAAGTGCATCAGCAGCTCTTTGGTGAGTTGCATGAAGTGCGCATACTCCGGGCAAGTCAATACAAACCTGGCGCAAGAAGCGAACATCCGAAAAATAGGAAGAAAAAAAAACAAGCTGGAAATCATTGTCTGGGCGAGTTTGGGAGAAAACTGCGCATCGAAGTGAAACCAGCGAGCAAAGGCTGCCTTGGGGTTGATCATGGGAGGTCACAAAACTTTTCAATGCTATAGCCCCAACAGAACCCTAGCAGACTTCCTCAAGGAGCCGTCGCAACGCGGACACGGAAAAAACTTCAGCTTTGACCCCCCTGATAGATTGAATGTTCATACTTAGTAAACCTTATTCTCGTGAGGCGATTTCAACAGAGATCCCAATGACTTGTTTGTCACCTTTTGGGATTCCCTTGTAACACAGGAAGCAAAATTCCGGCCTTAAAGCCACGCAAGTTTCCACAATCGACGAGAGGCCCAGGAAAGACCAGCAATCCGAAGCCGCTTGAGATGTTGCAGGCCCAACGCAACAGCGAAGCCCAGCTGTTGAAAGAGTCCGCTTCCAGTATAGTACATGTGTATTTACATATATACATATTTATGTGCATATTAGTAATGGAACCTCCATGACCCTTGCAAAACGGGAGTGGAATGATATAAATTTCCTTGTACATACCAACAAACAATGGTTTCATCCATTGTTTCATGATCGTGGTGCGAAATGGACTTCGCAACCATCCACTGTATGCCCACCAAATGGGGGGGGGGGGGGGGCGATCATTGGCCCCAAAATGACCAGGACAGCTTTCCCCATGGTGGTTTTAAGTCCTCTTATTTTGACCGTGTTGCCTAAATGGTACAAATCTTTCTCTCAAACACTTGGGAACCCGCAAAAAAACATGACTCCGGCATTTTCACCTTGCATTCGCTTCCCGAAAGAAACAGAAAGACCAATATATATATATATATATATATAAAACAGAACAACAAAAACGCCGTTCAACCGCTGGACCCTTCAACCCCCCCCCCTCCTCCGTTTCCCTCGGCCCTCCGCGCGCCTGTGGGCCCAGGCCATGGCGCGATCCTTCCACGTGGGCCCCCGCTCCGTGTCGATGAAGGTCACCGCCAGACTCGCCGCCTGCGGCTCGGATCCAGGAGGGCGGTGAGTCGGAACGGGCGCAAAGGGCGGCCCCGGGGGAGCAAACGCCGCGGTTTGGAAGGGAAAAAACACTGTGGAGCTCGTGCATGTTCAATTTCGTTGCTTTTGTTGTGTGTGTGTATCTTCTTGTTTGTTTTGTTGGGGGGGGGTTATGAAAAAAGAGATCGATAAAACAAAAAAGCAAATCCATAAGATATAGATGCCAACAACCACGTGGTGCCAAACCTTGACATTCTATTTCGTGCACATTCACAATGTTGTTAGTGCCGGAGGCAATGAGTCACGTTGCGTGGCGAGTTCTTTGGGGATTCTTTTTGTGCTAACCCCTCCCTGGTCCCCGATGCCAGCGGGAAAGGAAAAAGAGGCTCATGATTCTCCTGACGCCTTAGGGTGAAAACAACTCGCAAATGATCCCAGAGATTCGTGCAACCAAAGCGGCTAGCCAACAATTAAAGCCCGTTTGCCCAGTCGGTAGGGCAACAGAACTCTGTTTTCCGCCCGGCATTGTCCCCCTTTCAAAGGCAAACGCACTCCGAAAAAAGGCACGGAACCCAGTCCTTGGGCCACTCGAGTCACACTCAAAACCTTGGAGGTGGTCTACCCAAATCCATGTAAGGACATCGAAAGGCGGATATCCGCAGCGATTTATGGCTGGGGCTCCCCGTTCACCTTCACCTACCTGGAGTCTCCATGACCTTTAAAAAATTGGGTCATTACCCAAATTTAACGGGTCATGGACCCATTTCTTAAGGGTCATGGAGACTCCAGGTACCCGGAGTTTGCTTGTGGCTCACGTGAAAAAATCCGCAGATCAGGTGCGTCCCAGGGACAGTGGCGGGCGAGAGCTCCGCCAAGAGGTCCGTCTCGACCTCAAGCTGGGAGCTCAATCAGATCAGCTTCCTTCTGATTCAGCCCCAAGTCTGCTAGTTCGTGGTTGAGGAGATTCTCGTTGACACCACAAATCAGATCGGAGCTCTACACCAAAACTCGGATGTTCAGCTTCCAGCACGCGATTCGGTCCCTGGGGTTGCCTAAAATTGGGATACACCGAAGGGCAGACCAAACTGTTCGATTTGTACGGTAACTAAAATTGGAATTCGAAGGGTTGCCAATGTTGTTCTTGTAAGGTAACCATCGTGCACAAGTCTGGTCTCCAGTATAGGCACTGCCTGAAGTGGACTCTTGATCATAGCATAACCAGAGCAACATGACACGGCCAAGTCAACATCGCAGAAGTTACAACGTGTCATCGTGCCCTGCTTGGCCAGTTTGTTGAACTCAACTGTGCAGGTCCTGTTTCAAAGGAGCATCGCACCTGCGTGGCACGTCCCTTCATGGGACACCTCTTTTTCGTGGTTGATTTACCCCAACCGCGCCGGACCCTTCGAACGGGAGGTCGACCCTAGGCACACCCCAAAACTGGCCGTCGCGCGCCGATCCGCCGATTCCCCCATCGCCCGAACGGGGTTCCCGGGGTTCCTGGGGCCCGGGCGATGATCCGAAAGCCGCGAGTCTTGGAGAGGTAGGGCTTCTTGGTGCCGGCGATGGTGAGGGGCATGGCTGCGGACACGGCCTGGGTTTCCGGCCGAGTTCAGCGGGCATCTGGGGGGGGGGGCCAATAAACAAGACAAAAAAAAAACTCCGTAGGTCATACCCCCCTCTGCCCGTGAGATAACATGCCAAAATGTAAACGTCCACCTGGACCCTCAAAACTCCGACTTAAAATGGGTCGCCCCAAAATGATGAGTAAATTCCCTTTTTCTATAGGTATTCTGTTACATCCGCCCTCAACGCCCATCCACCGACGGCCCCTCACCGTCGCGTGCCTCGTAGAGCTCTGGATTCAACGGCCCGTCCAGAGTGAGCCAAATGCTTTCCTCCCGAGTCCTCAGGCGAAAGGCACCCCATGACTATGGTCACTACCTAGAGTCTCCATCACCCTTAAACAGGGCTGTGCAAAAAGATCACTTCTGTGATACAACAAAAAGGGCCTCCCAAAGACTACCCCCCCCTCTAAAGAGGGGAATGCCCTTGTATCACAGAAGTGGGGAAAAACCCCTTGATCCCGGCCCTTCAAGAATGGGTCCATGGCCCCTTCATTTTGGGACCCCATTTCTTGCGGGTCGTGGAGACTCCAGGTATGGGCACCAGATCCATTTTGCACCAAAGAAGCCATGGGAAACCCAGAAGGTTTGTTGGTATTTACAAGGGAAGCGACACAGAAACCAGGGTTTCTCAGGTGCGAAATGGATTTTGTCCCTCCACAGTAAAATCACCATCCACCCGATTCGGTGCCTCTTGTTTACTCAAAAAGGGATGTCTGGTTGCGTGCTTGACAAAGCAGTTCCGGTGGTCAAAACCCGATGGTCACTCTATCGTCAGGTATTGGAGGGGTCCCCTTTTGAGGGGTTTTCTCACCAGACATGAACAGCGATAAATGGGCGGAGTGCGGCTGTTCGAGTTTCCAGGTGAAAATCCCACGGGGACCTTGGCTCGACCAAAACCCGCCCCTTGCCCCGAGATGTTTCTTGGCTCGCGGTTGCCCAAGCCACCGGGAATTAACCAACCACATCAAAGCCCCTTGCCCCTCGAAAAATGTGTTGCTGAGGAAGAGAGAATATGAAAGACTCAAAAAAACATCTGTCTGAAGGTGCTGATATTCAGGATTTATACACTGGAGAGGGGAAGAGAGGCTTCAACATGTGAAACTCTTCTATCTCCGATTTCTAAATGCATAGTCCTTCATTCGGGGGCGCACCTGCGCCATTCCACAAACACCCAGAGTTTGTAGAACATGATGACAAGCTCGAAAGGGTGCACGGCACAACTCAACCACGGCCTAAAGGGGCCGTGTGCACTTCTGCAGGAGTCTTTGCCCTGCAAAAAAGAGTTCAAGTTTACCTAGGTCCTCCAGTAAAAAGGCTAGAGTCAGGGTACCTTTTTTTTTTTTTCTGTAGTCTATTTTAGCAGGGGAACTCTCCCCCAAAAAAGGGCACTACTGGGGGACCTAGTTACTTTGCGCGAGGAGAACCATTATCAAGACCGAAAAACAAGGACCTGGCACCTTCATGGGGTCCCGATTCCCTATGCGTCTGGAGTCTTTCCCACAAGGCCCGTTGGTTTGTGTCGGGTTCCCAAGAAGGCCATCGCAGCCAAGAGGCGAGGTGTTCGACTTGGACACATCCGTCTCCCTGGGAGATGGTTTGTCTCCAAAAGGGGGAAGCCCGAAATGAGTGCTTTCCATAGGTCGGTTGGTGAGCTTTTGAAGCTACCTCCTGGCTGATGAGCTTGGCAAGGTGATATGAGACTCGTTCTCTCCATTTGCTTCCCATACTGAAAAACGTATACCGTCAAAGAAAAAACACACCTGGCAAAGCCAGAGCTATTCTTACCTCAACCGACGTTTCCAGGTCATTTATACCGATTTACATGCCAACACCGATCTTTCGTGGACGCCTCTCCAGACCTCAAGTCGAGTTTGCAGCAACTCGCTCTCTCTCTCTCGCTCTCTCCCGCTCCCTATATATCTTCTGTATGTAGTTTTTTGGAGGCTGCCCTTTGTTGTGCGGTTTTAACACCCCGGGCAAACCACCCATGATTTTTTTAGGGGGGGCAAGGACCCCCCCAAGCAAAACTCCCTTGAGACAGCTCAAGCGAAAGCAAACCCAGCAAAGCTGTTCCGGCCTCAAGGGCGCCGAAGCGTTGGACACCACCATCAGTGCAGTGCTGGCATCCTGCGCCAGGGTGTTGATGCCTTAGACTCCGACTCCGCGCGGGGTCCATGAAACCGAAAGAACCAAACTGGGCTGCCCTCAGATCCCCCGCTAAAAGTTTAACTTTTAGTGGGTTAAATTGAAACTACCACAAAGCACCAAAAGGCGAAAAAGCTAAGGGATGGATGGGAGCCACCAAGCAAAGGATCCATGGATGCGATAAAGACCGCGTGAGTGCGCGAGTTTGTTTGCTGTTTTTGGGCGCCAACAGCTGGACTGCCCCGAGCACTTGCAAGTGGCTTGGGACGATTTGTGGGGAACACAGGAATATGCGCAAGCAACTATGGGACCATGTCATCTGGTATTTTTCGATCAGGAAATAAGTGAACCTCCCCAGTAAAGTACCTTCATCATTTCATCATGGATCATGTTACTTCACCCTCGAATCGGTGAGCTCATTGTATAGTGCCCAAATGTCATCGCCCACCCGCCCCCAACCAAAAATATACTGTGATTCTGGACCATATTTCATAAACCTACAAAATCGAATGCAACACCCGAAAGTAAACATGAAGGAAACCCAAAAGGCAGAGTTACGCTAAGCCTCCATTTGCTTAAGTCGCAGAAAATGTTCACATGTTCCAGTGATAGATTCCCTTTAAAACCCAACAAGGGGGAAATCAAAGTGGGCGGAACGTCCTGGGCGTGTATCAGATTGGGGCTGAGTTTCAGATTCCTTGCGTTTGTTTCCTCTGATTGGACTCGCTCCTTATTTAAAATAAGTTAATCATTCTTAGTTTTAGTATTTAAGTTGAACTTCATAGATATATTAAGTAGAGTTCAGAAGAAATAACTTAGAGGTCCCAAAATTGGAACATACACGGTGTTTCAATGTCTACTGATTTGCAAAGCCGATTCTATTGGAAAGGGAAGCCTGTGTAGCATACATATATATATATATATGTATACACGTAGAATAGTCACTAATTCAATTATATTTCAAATATAATTCAAATAAACCATGGATGCATTCTGTCCTTATAAATGCCATGTAATGTGAGATAGACATTGGGTAAAACTTGGTATCGTATATTAAGTAGCCGTGTAGCAATTATTTTGAAGTATAATATTCATTACTCAAATTCTACTTTAACATGCAAAATCTAATTGGAGTCTGTCCAGAGAAATGTCTATTTAATTTCAGTCAGAAATTGAGTACACTTTGATAAAGCTATTGAGTCATAAGAACAGAATTCAGAGGTCCCAAAATCGTGTTGTTTGATGTTTACTAGCCCCGGCACTGCAATGGTCAGAGGTGCCAAAATCGTGTTTTTTGTTTGTTTGTTGACTAACCCCAGCGCTACCATGGTCAGAAAACACCGTAACACACAGTGTTTTGTAGCGTGTTTCGTACTCAATGCACATCTCCACCAACAGCCGCTCTTTTAAACTCAGTTTGAATTTGAATAGGATTCAAATGGGCCTCAGTAAGGAAATACTTGATCAGAAGCCTACTGCGAATTGCATCTTACATTTAGACTCTAGACGGAGATCCTTTCCCAATAGAGCGAGCTTAAACATAGTTGACAACTAGTGAATCCAATCACAACTTCTTTGCTTAAATATAATTTGAATTATAATGATTCTATTTAAGATGATAACTCTCACCAACCCCGGGTCTCGAACGAGCAGATAAAGATGATGGGCTTGATGTGTGTGTTTTTTAATTAAATATTTTTCATGTCTAGCCTCCCCAACCCTAAAACACAAACAAACAAAACACCAACCCCATCTCGAACGAGCAGATGAAAATGATGGGCTTTTTCTGTTTTGTTTCTAGCCTCCCCAACCAAACCACAACAAAAACACCACCCCCAGGTCTTTTTGGTTTTTGGGTTGGTTTTTGATGAAACACGCAGCCCCCAGGAATCTGAAAAACGCAGCCCCCATGGCGTCCCCTTCGGAAATAAAAGCAATGCCTCAAAAGGCCGACCTTTTTTTATCGGGATGCTTTCCGACGTGTAAAACACAATTTTGAGCGAATGGAAGCAAGCGGAGTCTGGCAAAGACTTCATTTCAGCAAATGGAAATAAACAACGCTCCACGACTCAGACACTCGCATGGGCTGTCGATGTCTCCAAGCGAATGGGTCATGAATGACTAGGCAAACAGTTGGAAAGGAAATTGAGCTGAGCCTGGCCATGAGTACATTGATCGATTCCCTTTCAAACCAACAGGGACACATAACAGATATTAGTTTCAGCAAATGGAAGCAAGCCTTGCGTCCGGCAATGAGTACATCTTTCCTGTACACCCCGTGACCATTGGGTGGAACACCACTAAACGTATGACATTTCAACCACATGGGCAAAGTTACCCATGGTGAAAACTGGGGGCCCCTACATGGAATATTGCAATCCATGTGCTTAAGCCCCCTGGAAACAAAAGTCCAGTAGTGAAATCGATTCCCTTCAAAACCGACAGGAGAAAACAAAACATATTCTGAAGCAAATGGAATTTTCACCAACGCCCCACGAATCTTTTCAGCTGAGAGAGGAAGCCACGGCCCGCGCTCGCTTCGCGCTCGCTTGGCGAGCCGCGCAGGAGCTTCACTTTGGGAAAGGACCGCCCAAAGTCCAGGAAATTCTCCGCCGCCTCGAGCCTCGTTTCGTTGCACATGGGCGGCGCTTTGGGAGCGCCCCGCGTTTTTTTTTGGTCGTTTTTTTTCATGTGGAAAAACATTGGCCGTTTTTGTGGGTCGTTTTTGGGTCGGTTATTGAAGGTCAACATGTTTTCAGGGTTTTCCTAAAAGAGGACACAGGTGCCACCGGGGCTGATTTTCCCGGCTTGGGAGCTCAACCCTGGATTCAAGTGCCTGCTATTTGAGGCTTACGGCTGTGCTCTAGGTGTTTGGAAGGAGACTTTCTGAGGGCCCTGGTTTGGTCCTTGGCTCAACCAAAGCCACCGCAACCAAAACGAAAACCACAACTGAAAGCCACTTGACCAAACCAGCGCCTTCTGTCCGCTTGCACAAGGGAGCCGCCAAGCTAAGCTTCAAGGAGAGAGCTCCAAGGATCTACTCCTTAATCCGTTCCCCCTATTAATAAAGGTCTCCCTAATAATAAATATTTGTTTCGGAAGTCCCAAATCCGGGAATACTACTTTTAGAATAGCCAATACTAAACCAATTCTAAAGTAGGTATTTTCCTGCCCGTACTCAAATCCAGCCCCATTAGGGGGACCCCGGGGGCACGTTTCCTTTAATTACTACGGCTGTACTACAAAGTTGCGACTTTCAAGCCAGAGCTCCGGGAGCACGTTTCCTTTACTACGGCTGTACTACAAAGTTGCGACTTTCGAGCCAGAGCTCCGGGAGCACGTTTCCTTTACTACGGCTGTACTACAAAGTTGCGACTTTCGAGCCTGAGCTCCGGGAGCACGTTTCCTTTTACACGGCTGTACTACAAAGTTGCGACTTTCAAGCCAGAGCTCCGGGAGCACAGCACGTTTCCTTTACTACGGTTGTACTACAAAGTTGCGACTTTCGAGCCAGAGCTCCGGGAGTATGTTTTCTTTGAGACCGGCAGGCTGTGCCAATTAACTAATTAGCTACAGAGGCTGGTGGTCAAGGTCAAAGGGTGCTTCAAACCAAAAGCTCCCCAAAAGCAAAGGGTATCTCCGCAAACCATTTTTATTATTAGGGTCTCTTTCTCTCTCTCTCTCTCTCTCTCTCTCTCTCTCTCCCTCAATCCAAAAAGGTTCCTTTGAGTGACCCAAAACCCACAACCAAAAACAACAAAACGTGACCTCAACTCCCGCTACTTAAATTCCTTACTCAGAAATGTGCGTTTGAAGCGATTTTACGGAACGGAACAGGGGGACCAAAGTTGCAAACAAGCCTACACAGAACAAGAAGTACCTCCAAAACCTGCCCTCCAGAACCAGGGGACCCCTAATAATAAAAATTGTTTTGCTGGCCGGGTATTTTTTTTATTAGGGGGGGGGGCGTCGTTTATTAGGGGGAAGGGATTACACTCCTTTCAATGCGGATGTGCCAGGTGTTTTGGGAGAGTTCTCCTTTTGAGTGGTCTGAAACTCTGTTGCAATATATGTAAATACGGGGCTGCCCTCAGATCCCCCGCTAAAAGTTTCACTCTTAGTGGGTTAAATTCGGAAACTACCACTAAACACTAAAAAGCTAAAGGGCTAAAGAACCGGATGGCTGGGAGCCACCAAGAATATGTACAGATATGGGAAGTGCTCTTTTCGAGGGTTAGATGTGGTTTCACTTCCTTGCAACGTGTAAGCCCGCCTTTTCCGCTGGTTCTTGCACCAACCGGCCGAACCAGATTCACCGAAAAGTTCACGACTGCCTGGGCCTTAAAACAGGAGCTACGCGGGTGTACCGTTTTTTGAAGGTGCCCCTTTCTGCTTGAGAAAAGGAAGACTAAACGAAACTCCAGCCATTTTGGGGGATGCAACCTTAAAACAGACACACCCATTTGAGGTGATTGAACAAAAAACTAAAAGGACCACCAGCCATTTTGAGGGATCCAACATGAAAAAGAAGAGGCGCCCATTTGGGAGGATCGACCTCCATTCGAAATGCGTCCGTCCCCTCGCCGAGCTTCAGCGTGGTGATGCAGTCGGACTTGCCAGCGCCAGCTTCGCCCACCACCGCCTGAGAATCGGAAGATCGATTTTCCGGGTCCGCTTGGCTGTGGCTCAAAAGAATCCCGGAATTCCAAAATGGGTTGCCCTGGCAAGTGGAAACATGGACCAAAACCTGCGCAAAAAAAAATGGACTTCCAAAATGCAAAAGGTTGCTGGAAGTGGACCCCCCGTGGCAAAAAGTGAATCTCTCACTTTTTGGGGGTTTAGTGGAAAGGTGTTGATTTCAACCAAAAAGTTAAAGTCTAAAGATCCAACCCAATAGCAGTTAAGAATGGAACCCTGGTAAGTGGAAACATGGACCGAAACCTGCGGTTCGCCCCTCCGATCGTTTAATTTTGAGCCACAGCCACTTGGGATCACTTGGGTATGCGTCAAGAAAAGGGAACCCCCAAAACTGGGCTGCCCGTTTTTAACTCGCCCGCTAAAAGTTTAAGTGGGTCAAATGGAAACTACCACGAAACACTAAAAGGCTAAAAACAGTTTCGGGGAGTTGCCTCAGTCGTTCAGTGGCACCAATTATGTTTCCCATTTTTTTAGTGGCTGCCCCACTAAAACTGGTCTTCCCCTGAAAAAGGTTTCCTTTTTTCCAGGGTCACTCAACAACTGAGTTGCTCAACCCTCTCAGATTGACCAGTCGAAGGGTTTTCAAATTCATGTGCCATGGTCAAAAGACCGGTTCCTTTTCATGAAGGTAGCAGGGATGCTCATCCACCTGGTACCCTTAGTACCCATTTCATGTTTCCGACTTTGGATGGACGGAATGAAACCATGGGAAACCATTGTTGGCATGTATAGAGGAATCGAATCCTGCCAGGGTGTCTTAGGTGCGAAAAGGATTTTGTCCACAGCAAAAAAGACCATGACCTGGCCCTAGCAGTCTTGACCATGGCTCATCCTAAGAAACCCTGGTTCTGATGATTCCCCTATAAATACCAACAAATACTGGTTTCTCATGCTTTCAAAGTGGTCCAGGATTTCGTCCATCCACAGTATGATCATGACCTGAAGGCCTCATAAGGCCCTAAAGTAGAGCGTGGCTGCGACGTGAGCCGGTTGCAGTGAAACTGGCACCTGGACCCTCAAACTTCCCTTTAAAATGGGATGGGTAGCAGTTCCCTTTTTAATAGGTAGGTTTTGGGTCCAAGTACCATGATTTGACAGGTGTTTCGACTCTTGGGCTCACTTTGTGTCGCTTTGAAGGGGCCCGAAATGGGAGATCACAAGGAAAGACTCGGGGGTAAGATCCGGGAGTGGACTTTGCACCAGTTTTGTAGCCCGGGATATGTCAGAAAAGATGCCCCCCCCAGCCAACACCCAGCGGAAGAATCTCGTAGAGCAGGCGCTCCATGATTTGTCTGGTAAGGGATTTGGTCGGCATCCTGCTGGGGATTTCTGCATCCCCCCCAAAAAAACAATCACGCGGTTGTTCAGTCGCACCCCCTCCCACTGTTGTTTGGTTTGCCGCTCAACATGGTCAACCCCCGATAGGATTCCCTTTTACAACCTGTTCAAATTCTTTACGTGCGTTTTAGTGGCATGTAGCTCAGTAGGGCAGTGTGTGTCTGTGCAACCCGCTACATTTTCTCGGCTCCCAGCCATCCGGTTCCTCAAAGCCAGGCTGACTCCAAACACTGTGACCATCAGGAAGCACTAAAACTATTTGGGCGTGCGGTTGGAATCGTCTGCCCAAGTGCTCCAAATGAAAGATGACACCGTCTGCCCAAGCTCGCACCATCTTCCGTGCTATCCCAGGCGCCACATCTCGGTCATTCAGCAAGGCTTGCGTGGTGGCGATGCACTTTTGCACCACCATGGGGTTGTAGAAGTCGTAGGAATACTTCTGCCCTCGGATCGATCCATTCGCTTCTCGTTTTGGAGGTCTTTGCTGGCTTCTTTTTGACATCGCGGGCTGAATGGGCCGAAAAACATCGCCCTCCTATGCACGGAACCGCATGAGCCATGGAGAACGTTTTTGGCACACCGCCGTCGCAGCAAATTATGGGTGTCGTCTTCTTGGAGAGTAGCCTCTTGGAAGGGTTAACCAAAGGACCAGTTGTTGGCGCCCCTGAAATACGACGAATGCCAGTTTGAGGCTTGCCCCATAAGCCAACTCTCAGGAAGGCCGACTATCTGCCCCGGACTTTGGGTAAAAACACTCGTGTTCTAGATTATAGGGCCATGGTTCAAAACCGTTTCGGTACCATTTTGGGGTATATAGGTGAATTCACCGCCCATTTCAGTCTACTTTAGCGGGGATTGAATCGGATGTTTGGAGTAATTACGGGGGTTTTGACCCATCGATGGCATTGAAGAGCCAAGCTAAAAGGACACCTCTGTGAAAGTGGTTCAAGGACACTTCTTTTCTCCCGAACCCAGGGAAGCAAAGGGACTCCAAGATTGGCGCTTCATTTGAACCCTAGGTCCAGTAGAGAGGATAGAATAAGCGTACCCAACTTTTTTCTGTAGTCTATTTTAGTGGGGGAACCCTCTCCCAAAAAAGAAACGGCCAAAGTTGGCACCTCAGCTCGCATTCGATTGAAGTGCAAGAAGCTGAGAGTGTCTGCGATCTGGATGTAGAACAGTGCGGACACGTCCTTCTTCGCGACCCGCTGTGCCATCAACGTGTCATTGAACAAGTTCCTTAGTCCATCTCATTCGCATCGGGTCCCACATGCGTGTACATTGGGTGCCTTTTCGCAAACCAGTGGGAATTGGGAATCACAGGAATCACACATCTCAGGGGTGTACCGAAATATCTTCAACAAATCCCACCTCTGCTGCTTCCAGCACCTGAAACACTTTGGACATGGTTGAAGAGATGTTGGGACCCGGATGCATCGTTTGCTCAGCGCCATTGTTTCTCCGTTGCTTTTTGCTCCCCTGCTAAAAGTTTAACTTTTAGTGGTTTAATGGGAAACCCTAGTTGGCAAAAAACTAAAGTCCTAACATCCAAGCAACATGCACCAAAAGGCTTGCCAGCTCGCGTGCCGGATTCGACCCCGGAGCCAAAAGAACGAGTCAGGAGACAGGCACTTCCGCTGTGCTCGGTGCGGCAAACCCAAACCACGGGCCAACGCGCGAAGCGAACGCGCTGGGTGGATTTCTTTCTGCCAGAAACATTGGGCCAGGAACCTTTTCTTGTGGCCAAGTAACTCGCCTCTCTCCACTGCAAAGCAAGGAATCAAGTGTGAATTATCGTTTTTTTTGGGCCAAATGGTGGGCGGAGATGCTTTCGCTTTGCAGAAAGAGAGGAACAGCTCGGCGCCGACTCTTGCTGGGGCTAATCTCTACATGTGGATTCTCCCTTTGGCTTCCCTTTTAAACCAACCAGAAGAAGAGAGAGTACCAACTCACAAAACACACCCTCCCCTAATTCGGGTGCTCCTCCTTTTGTTTTCCTTTCAACCCAACCCGAAACCGACGTAGTTACCGCCCCCAAAAGCAAAAACGAAGCCCAGCGCCATCCTTCGCCCCAAAGCGCCCCCCCGCTTTAGAGCGAGCGAGCCGCTGGCGGAAGGCCGTCTGGTGGGCTTCGAAGTGCTTGGAGGCCCCAAAGCTCATCACCTCGAGCAAGAAACTTGGACGCCGGCACCCGGGTCCCGGTCCCGGTCCGGGTCCCGGAAGCACTGCTGGTTGGCTGCCGTACCAAGGGGAGTTGTGTTGCATGGTAAAAACGCAGAAATGTTTGGGGGGGTGGAGTTAAGATGAGTTGGTTTGAAGAGAATCGTTGTTTGAAGGCAACACCAAAGCTTGGTTGCCGCTTCGCAAAAACCAAACGGGTGGCAGCGAAACATGAGATCGCTCGTGGACCCACGCCGAGCTTGGCCGTGTCATTGAGGCCTCCAAGTATTCCGGAGGCTCATTCGCCATTGCTTCCCAACCCCAGCTGGATATTTCGACCTAAGACCCCAAAAGGCTGGGAGTGGTTTAGGGAAAGCCAAAGAGAAGCCCATTCTGAGGCAAGCCAGAAAAATCGCCTTCTACAATGGCCAGAGTGATGAACAATTCCTCAACAAAGACGAGCCACCCACCAGCACCCAGGTCCCAACATTCCTGCGTTTTCAACCATGTCCAAAATCTCAGCGGTAACCAAGAAGCAGTTGCTATGGCTCCAAGTGCTGACACAGGTCTGTCTTTTCAATGTGGGACCCCCCCAATGGGTGGTTTTCCTTTTGGCTTCCCTTGAAAAGCACCTCAAACAAATCTTTTCGGTTTCCCTTGAAAACCACAACCAAAAGGGGCCTATACACCAACTCCAACAAAAACTGAGAGACCCACATAGAGATCTCTTAAACCCACCCAAAGGGGCTACTAACTCCAACACACGACAGAATGTGGGTATGGGTCAAACTTAACCACCACGAAGTGGACCGCAGATTGTTAGTCCGTTCCACAAAACCGGGAGAAAGGAACAACTATATACCACCTCAAAAAACAACAAACAAACAAACCCCACAAACCATCTTCAAAAAACACATGGCTTGCCCTGGGTTTACCAACCATTTTTTTCGACCACCGCCGCCGCCAACTTGCCAGCCAGCGGCCCCCCTGAAAAAAGGACGTCGGACCCGCCCTCCGCCCGCGGCGCGCGTTTTTTCGTGGCGAGGGCGCGGTGCAGCGCCAGAGCATCTCCCGCTCAGCGGAGGCGTCCAGCTGGGTGGCCACGGCGCAACTGGGTGGCGTGCTCTCGAGGGTGGGGGGATTTGTTGTTTGCTTTTTTGGAGGGGTGGGATGGGGATGGGAGAGGAGATTGTGTTTTTTTTTGGGGGGGGAGGGGGGGAAGAATTTGGCAAATTTGGGGAGTTCACACAAGGTTAGGGGGGGCCAATAGCAAGCGCCCTAACTTCCGTGGGTGGCAACAGTGTTGCTTTCCGCAGGGTTGGCAACATCCCCAGCATCACCTGGGGCTGCTTGTTGACTGTGATTTGGTGGCAGTTGGGAGTTGCTGGGGGCTGGTTTAAGTTAGGGGGGCTTTTGGCTGGGTGGGTCTTGGGGTGGTTTGGGGTTGATTTCGGTGAAGTGAGGGCGAGTTTTGGTGGTTTGGGGCAACGCTCCAAAACCGATCCTAAACGAGACCAAAACTCACTTAACACACCTGAAAGCAAACCTAAAGCCGCTGCTACACCAGCAGCACAAATCAGCTCCAAATCGCCTAAATCAACCACGCACCACCCCAAGACCCAATCTAAGCCAGCCAGAACCCCCCTGAAATCAAAGCCAATAGATGGCCCGCCCGGCAAGTGAGGCTGGTGATGCCGGGGATGCGGCCAGCCAACCAAGCAACCAACCAACCAAACCAAACCAACCAATCAGACCAGGGGACCAGCCCTAGTAAAGAATCAGCACTAGGAGAAAGAAACACACCGGATCCTTCCGTGTGTTGGCCGTAAAAGTCCCCCAACTTTCTCTGTGTGCCCCTAAAATCGCTCCAAACCCCAAGAAGTGACTACAGTCCGTAAGATTCTGACTATGTTGCGGAACATGCTCATTGTGAGGTGAGAGGGTGGGAACAAGGGGCTGCGACCCTTTGAATGCGGACATGTCTCTTTTGAGGGTACAATATTTGAGGTTGCTTTAAAGGGGAATCAAGGGACACTACCCAACTAGATCGCCAACCCCGCAGAAACTCACTTGAAACCGGGCGTTTCAAAGATGCTCGCACACCAAGCTTCAAGCGAACATATAACATATATAAGAATGCCTTTGGAATTTTCGGACAGGGACCCATGCTCAGGACTCAAACCCAGGAGGTTGACCTCGAACAAGGACTCCCCTTGCCAGCCCAATCCCTTGGTTGACGTTGGAAGGGGAGCAACAATTTAAGTTTTAGCAGATAAGTGGGGATTTCAACCACTAAACCACACTAAACACAAATCTAAAATGTTTCTCAACAACAACCATGATCCCCCTGGTGTGCCCGTTTTTTGTTGTTGTTTTTTTGTCAAGCGAGTGGCAGCCAGGCTTCACAGAGGATCTGCTCATCCAAGGTGTTGTCCCTCTCCAGAAGCTCGTGGTTCTTGTATGCCTCGGAACGCAAAGGCACCTACCAAATCGCTTACTCTCATGACGACTTTATAAACAAGATAAAGTCTATGAACTCAGGAAGTGAAATTCTTGCAACAATAAAGGGGATCAACTTTGTAAAATCATGTAAGCTAACGACAGTGGGTGGCTTGCCTCTATCCATGTTTGCCATACAGGTACCCTCCCGAAACAAACTTGGAACCTAAATGCGGCCCACAGAAAACGCAATCTTCCATGGTGAGAACCTACCTACCATGGAAAATCATGAACCCGCCGCAGACCGATGGAAAGAGCAAACCTCGGCCTCAAACTCACCAGCTCCGCAAAACACCAACATGATGGAGTCAAACTCGCCTCAATTTGGCGAAACCATGGACAAACTGAAGCCTCGCCAGGCGGCCGCACAACCACTGGACATGAACAAAGCAGCCTCACTGAAACCGGCCTCAAACCATTTGATCGAGGGAACTTATCCAAGAAGACCATCTTCTTCTAAAATGGGCCCTCTGGAAGGTTCCATGGTGGAGGGTAAATCATTGAGCAATGGTTCCAAAGCACACCGGCCGAACACCCTCCCTTGCGTCTGTAGACCTTCCTCTCCAAAAGACAACATGGAGCAATGGAGCCTCAAACAAAAATCCCTGTTAAGGACGATCCTCCCAATGAGCAGGTGGTTCTTCACAGAGCATGAAGGACATTGTGAGCTTAACCCAGCTGGTGTTTTGCCCTCGTCCGCTTGAAAAGGGAATTCACCCCCGACAAGCACGCACACAGACTCACTAACACACAGAGACACAGACACAGAGTCGCTGAAACACGGACACACAGAGACACAGACACAGAGACTCAGAAACGCAGCAAAACAGAAAAGTCAGACACTCAAAGACAGAGACACAGAGACACAGAGATACAGACACAGAAACACACACACACAGACACACAGACACACAGACACACAGACACACAGACACAAAGACACAGTCAAAGAGACGCAAACACACAGACACACGCACATGGCATACCCCATTGTCATGGCTTGGGTTTGTAGATTCATCTGAGAGATTTGGAAATTTCCCTGCCCCTTCTTGCAGGTGGATCTCCCAGAAACACCAAACACAACATGATTAGACTTAGGCCCAGTTGTAAAATGTATATTTTATTGTTTGCTTCACTTTGAGTTACTGGTAAAATGTAAAATGTATCCTAAGTCTCCCCCAGACAAATCCAAACTCCAGGAGTTCGCCTTCTTTTCCTTTCGGACAGCCCAAAAATCGACTACAACTTGGTACGTTACAGGTATTGCACATCACTATGCATGTAACCATGTGGTATCACAGCCCACATAGCAGTTGGTATTACATCCACTGCGGATCTTCGCCTCTGGGAGATCGAGGGGCCCGCAGCGACGAGGCTGCGAAGGCGCAGATGGCGCGAACCTCCGCGAGGCCCAAGCGCTGCTGTCCTAAGATCGCTCGTCACCTGGAGTCTCCTTCTGAGCCTTTGGTTGGTCTACCATAGGGGTGGCCCTATTTTTGAAAGGGGCCATGGAGATTCCAGGTGGTATTTTCAGCTGTTGCATGTTCAGTCTACAATAGTTTGGGAAGACCCACTTTGGGTCTTAGAGAAGAGTACACGACTCTTTTTGCAATGAACACCTTCCTTGCAAACCAATTGGCAAGCTTCCATGCGAGTCCAGCAGAGCATGTAATCCAGAAAAGACTCTCGTCAAAGGAGTCTCCTTTCGGGCAACCCTCATCTTGGGTTGACTGTGAGATGCCAGTTTGCAACGGGAGCACACTACGTTTTAAGAACCAATACCAATCCCTCAGCCACAAACCGGATTGACTTGACAGAAGGTCAGCCCTAAAGGGGGCCCTCAAAACTTGCCGTTTTTCAGCAGGGAATGAGACATGGAACGACCTTTGTATGAACCATCCCCGCTTTGGTTAGGGACTCTCCAAAACCGGTTCATTCCCCACACCCGGACTCGGAAAAGAAACAAAAAAACACCTTCCCTATCGCAGCCACATCTTTTGCGGATCCCATCGCATCGGACCCAGCCCGGGGTGTTCATTGACTCGTGGCTCCCAGGGTAGGCTCCCTCGTTGCGAGATCCCAAAAAGGGAGAACAACGCACTGGGGCTTACTTGCCAGGCCAAAGGGCCAAATTTCACAACAAACAGACTCCTTAAGTCACTCCCCACAGTTGTTCAGTGACCCTGGAAAAAAAGGGAACCCTTTTTGGGGAAGACCATTTTTAGTGGGTCAGCCACCAAAAAAATGGAAAAAGGGTGCCACTGAACAACTGATAATTTCCACAACAAACCAACAGACTCCTAGGTCCTCCAGTCGAGAGGCTAGAATAAGGGTACCAATTTTGTTCTGTAGTCCATTTTAGCAGAACCCCAACCCCCAAAAAAGTTAGGGTAAAAGTTGGCACCTAGCTGGACCTAGACAGTTACTCTCCGCCACATGCGGAGATCTCCAACCAAAACGGGATCCAGAACGGTTTTGACAGCCACAGCCATATATATATATATATATAGGACCCTGGGGCCGTCTTTTAAAGAGAGATACCACAAGGGGCTCCTAATTTTGACAATGCGACATGGCTGTGGCTCAAAAAGCCGGAATTCCAAAATGGCTTGCCCTGATAAGTGGAATGGAATGAATGGACCAAAACCTGCGGTTTGCCCCTCCTGTTGAATTTTGAGCCGGAGATCAGGAGAGAAAGCTGAGCATCCAAGGCGCGGCCTTTCTTCCGCACCTTCTGCGCCTCGAGGTTGAAGGCGGACACCGCGCGGTTCCTGCGCCGAAAAAAAACCTCCAGGGGTTAAATTCGCTTGGTGTATCTCTCGACTCTCTAAAACCCAAGTTGTTTTTTTGCTAGTTCTGTTCATTTTGCAGAGGGTTGATTCCTTGTCCATTCTTGTCAACCATCGTTCTTTCCAAACACCGGATCCGCTTTTTTTGGGTTCCGGAGGTTTTCTAGAAAGAAGGATCCCTGGAAAGAATGGAAATGGAAGGTACCCCTAGAAAAGTTCGACATGACCAGACGCAAAGACCTAAGCCGTTTCTCAGCAGGGAAGGAGAAATGGCTCATGAGCCCGAACATAAACAGAAGGGGTTTCTCCCTAAAACATAGTGCTTTGTAGCATTTGTCATGTTAAAATCACATCCCCACCAACACCCGGTCTCAAAATAAACCATCCAACTGGTGGTTTCCTTTAAAGGAATTCCCCCTTCCAGTTCGTTCCCACATTCCTTGCTGAGCACCAGCAAGGAAAAGTTGCTCAGAAACACCAGGGGGCTGCCACTTCGAACCTGGAGCCATGGGTCTCCAAATAGGCTGACCAAGTTGTGGTTTTCCTTTTGATCTCCCTAAAAGGAAACCACCCCAAGGATACCATCCAAATGAAGACCCGCCCACATGACCAGACTTGGACCTGCAAAAAGATCTTCACAGGTGTCATCAAACAGACTCGCTCTTCTGTCAGGTGAGCAAAGCAAAAAGAAGTCCAGTTATATTCCCTGTACTGGTTTGCTTCAGGTTAAAAGGGAGTTTTGGCTTTGCACCCAACGGGCAAACGGGTCCTTCCTGTGATGCCAAAGTAGGAAGTTGATCACTTGAACAGGGTCCCAACCCCTATTTCCCGCAAGCATGAGCCACACGCTCATCTCAGCGAAAGGCAATCCCCACAAAAAGCTCTGCCTGATGCGCACCCGCATGCATCAATCCAACCTTCCATTTGGTAAGGCCCCAGGAAAAAGTAAAACTATTTAGTAGTGACGAATTCCTTTTCAAACCAACAAGAGAAATAATGATAATAATAATAAACATGTTCTTAAGCAAATGAGGGCAATGGAAGTGGCACAGCTCACGGAAAGTTTTCGTCTTCAAGCCGCAAGGTTGCCCATGCCCCACAGGATGCCGAGCAGAAAGACAGAAGGAACCTTCAAAATGCTGGACTCCACAAGGCAACCCATCTTTGGGCTTATGGCTGACAAGATGGAAACCAAAAGAACAACCAACCATTTTTCCTGTTTTGCTGGGGGGGAAACACCAATTTCCATTTATTTATTTATTTATTTATTTATTTATTTATATATATGCAACTCCCCCCCCAAAACCCGCGCCTGCTGCTTATGTAAGGGAAGTCAGGTCATTTTAGATGGATGCTACCAGGCGTGGGCAAATGATTCATTAAGACTTAGCCACCCATACCAGTAGAGCCGGCAAAGCCGGTGGGCGGAAGCTTGAAAAAAATATATAAAAGCACTATAGTTATCTGTATCTTTCTTTTCTTGACTCGTTTTCTCTTCGTCTTGCTTTCCTACATTCCTTTATTATTTGCATTTATTTCTGCATTTCTTCCTTTATTTCGTTATTTATTTATTTCTGTCTGTCTTTCTTTATGTCTCCTTTTCTCTCGTTCTTTGTTCTTGCTTGTCATTTGCATATCAATGCCTCTATCTATCTATCTATCTATCTACCTACCTATATATCCATCTATCTATCGATCTATCTTTTTTTCTCTGTCTATCTACCTACCTACCTACCTACCTATCTATCTAATCATCTAATTTATCTAATTAGCTATCTATCTACCTACCTATCCATCTTTCTTGCTCTACCTATCTATCTTTATTTCTACCTATCTATCTTTATTTATCTATAGTCCTACCTATCTATCTACCAACCTATCTATATCTCTCCATTTATCTATCTATTTATCATGTATATATATATATATATATCTGTCCATCATCTGCTACGCATCTTCCATCCCGCATCTCGACTCATCTGCAAATCCCCTTCGCTTGTCAGCTTGCAAACCTTGGCCAATACCAAAACAGCTGCTCACATCTAATATGTATTGACCAGTGCCACACTCTTCCAAAACAACTAATTTCCCTGAATGAAATCTGTTCTGCACAACACCTGCTAGGGACGCATGCAAAACACTGGTATTTACATGTTTTTTTCAATATCCAAGAGTAGGTGTGGATTTGTTGAAGTCATTTATTGAAGAATTAATTCTCCAATGTCCATATGATGAACTATCAACTGTATTTGTCGCGCACAAGTTCAAAAGGAGAATAAGGTGCACACACACACAAACAGGAATGGCTGAAAGCAGATGCTTCAAAGCACTTTAAAGTACTTTTGGATTCACTATTCAAGATTCCCAGGACTCTAGATCTGGAATCTTGAATCCAGCCTGGGCCCCCCAAACCGCTTTAAAGCGCTTTAAGGACCTTTGGATCAAGATTCAAGATTCAAGATTCTGGGGACTCTAGATCTGGAATCTTGAATCCAGTATGGGACCCCCAAACGCTTTAAAGCGCTTTAAAGCACTTTTGGATTCAAGATTCAAGATTCTCAGGACTCTAGATCTGAATCTTGAATCCACGAGCCACCTGGATGAACACGCTTTAAAGCGTTCTGGGGGGCCGAGGCTGGATTCAAGATTCCAGATCTAGAGTCCTGGGAATCTTGAATGTTGAATCTTGAATCCAAAAGTGCTTTAAAGCGCTTTAAAGCATTTTGGGGGGCACAGACTGGATTCCAGATTCCAGATCTAGAGTCCTGGGAATCTTGAATGTTGAATCTTGAATCCAAAAGTGCTTTAAAGCGCTTTACAGCATTTTGGGGAATCAAAGTTGGAGTGCCTGAAAAGAGTCAAAATTGAAGGGCCTGAAAAGGGGGTGGAAATCACACAAAAGTACTGCAAATCTTGTCAAATTCTCTTGGGGCGTGTTTCTTTTTTTTTTTTTGGGGGGGGGGTACCATATATATATATATATATATATATATTATTATTATTTTTTGGGGGGGTCCCCTAAAAAAAGACACGCCCATATTTGAGAAACACCCCATGTTGCGGACGTGCGCAAATCTGAGGCCGTGGCAGCATCCGAGCCGCATCCAGGTTCAGAATGCCAATGCGTACAAGCCCTGCGTGGATGTAGAGCCTGAGAGTAGGAAGAACATATGGCTCACATGTTGGGGGCTCCAACCTTAAACGCCGACACACCCATTTGAGGCGATTGAAACAACAAAGCTAACTAAAAGGGTCCAGCCTGAAAAAGAAGAGGCACCTATTTCACAGGATCGACCTCTCGGTTGTTCAGTGACCCTGGGGGTGAGGGGGAACCCTTTTTGGGGAAGATAATATTTTTCGTGGGGCAGCCATAAAAAATAAGCTCAGGTGATATCCCCAACAGCATGTGGTGCTCTTTTTAGTGCTCGCACCACCCCGCAGCCCTCGCAGAACCTCGTGGAACCCTGGTGGAGCCTTGGTGGAACCCTCGTGGAACCTTACCTCAGGGCCGCCCCGGAGCACCGGAGCCTATCTGGCTGAGACCCCAAAGCTTTCAGCTGTTGAGGAAAAAATGGAAAAAAGGGTGCCACTGAACAACTGAGATGGGGGCTGATCAATCTTCCCTTCGGGCCCCAGTTTTGACCATGGCTGCTTTTCCCATGTAGGAAATCATATCTTGTTAGTGGCGCTCCCTCGTGGTCATCCCATGTTCATCGGACCTTTTGATCAACCCCCGTATTCTTCAACCTGGTGAAGTCATAAGGGGCTGTGAATTCTTGGTCAACATTGAACATCCGGGTGTGAGACTTAAACTCGGGGGTGGCTGAATTTAGGTAAAACCCTTAGGCATAAGTCTACGTTGGGACCGTCAACAACTGCAACCCTGCACCAACCACTTTTGATGTGGCTACCATTGAATTTCGAAGCCATCTTGGTCAGGGTTGTTGCGGCTCCGTGACGAGTTGGCCCCACCATTTTGCCAATCAAAGGTAGGCACGAAAAAGACTGCTTGGCTGGGTCATTCAAGGGAACGGCCCTGCCATTTGAGTCACAATCAGTATCGGCAACAAAGAAAGCCACCCACAACCATGTAAGAAAATATGACGAGTGGCCTCCATTCCGCATACCCGGGGTTTTCTCATGTGGCCCTTCAAGCAGATGTTGAAATCACATCACCCTACACATGTTGAGAATCTCCCAATGGCAGTCACTATTTGCTGGGCCTAGTCAACGCCGCATTCAAACGAACAAAACATATGTCCATCCTTGAACCACTGTTTTGTGACATGGCGCCAAAACAAGGGCACCCTCTTTCCAACAATTGTGGATGCGGACAGCAGGGCTCGCAAATACTACTGTCCTCTCGACAAGTCCAATTCACTTCCAGTGTTGCAGTTTTTGTGGGGTTTGCCCAAAACAACAACAATCAATTATTATACTCGCATATCCCCCTTTGTCATTCCCTCATATTCCGTCCATTTGCTTCAGCCTCCTGCAAGAAGTAGAACCAACAGGGGAACATGTACAATATTCTTTCAGATGGAAGATTCGTTTGGGTACATTGGAAGTGTTGGGCGTCTCCGCAAAAAAAAGCAAACATCAATCAGTTCTGACTCATATCCCCTTTTCTTTTTCCGGGTACATTGCTGGATGAATTATAATATTTCACCAGCGGGCCATTCCCCCCATAAACCACCATTTGGGGTGAGGTCGCGTGAGGTGGTTCTAATTCACCCAGGTACATGTGTATAAACATGATTCATTGACAACTCACTTCCTGAGTGGGTTGGCCAAAGAAAGTCTGAGCTGTTAATTTACCACTTCCAATGCACTACATTGGAAGTTCCGTGGGCAAATGCCCAAAAAATAACGCAACCATCAATGATACTCACGAAAAAACAACAACAATCAATCAGTTCTGGACTCATCTCCCCCTTGTTTTTCCGCATACCTTGGAAGCTTTTCGGGGGCAAACCTCTGCCCCCAGGGGGGCTCCGGTTCCTTCCGCGGCGCGTGAGGTCCGGGGCCGGGAAGGCCAGCGGCCGCAGCTGGACGCCAAGCAGCTCCCAGCGGCGTCCTTTTTCCTGGGCCCGTGTTCGGATCCGCGAGAAGTCACTAACTTTGAAGTTTTTCGGATCCGCGAACCGTTTTTTTTGGATCCGTTTTTGGATCCGTTCCTGGGTTAAATTTTCGGAAACTTTGTGCCTGCTGTGCCTGCAGAAGTGCGCGGTGGATTTGTTGTGTGTATTTTTTCTTTTTTGACAAACTCCAGGGAGCGGCTCTCAGGCCCGCCGCCCTCGGTAGACGCGCCTCCCGTGGCTGCCGCCCCCGAATGTTCTTCACGGGACCAAGACAAGGCGTGCCAGCTTGCGCCAGCCCAAGTCGCCAAACCCTGCTGAGAAAGAGTTAGCTTCTTTGGGGAAGGTTACTCGCTGCAGAAGTGCCTCAGAGAGTTTGAGGGAGCGCTCGTGAACCCTGCACCTAATGGGCGTCTGCTGCGTATGCCACAGGCAGCGCTCGTTTTCAGAAGCAACGGCGCCAGCCCAGGCGCTACTAGTCTAGGTTGGCAGGCTGGGCTACAAGTGCAACCACGCCCAGACAAAAGAAGAAAAGCCAAGCAGTCTCTTAGCCACAAGTTTTCTCTTGTGCGTCTCTCTGATTTTAGGGCGCTCGAATTTAGGCCCCTCACACTGGTACCATGCAGCACTGACCACTGAGGTGATGCACGGGGCGGTGAAAAACCACGGTGAAGCTTTTCGGTGAATTTCTTTCGCTCTTCAAACCTGTGCCTTGGACAGAACTTCGCCTCTGCTCAGCCCCCGTCTGAACTTCACGTCTGAACATGAGGGCCTGGGCGACCCTCTTGAAAGCTCAAAAGGCCCTCTTCTTGGGTCGACTCACTCAGACTCACTCACTCACTCACTCACTCACTCAGACTCTCACTCACTCACTCACTCACTCACTCACTTACTCACTCACTCACTCACTCACTCACACTCACTCACTCACTCTCTCACTCACTCACTCACTCCTCACTCACTCACTCACTCACTCACTCACTCACTCACTCACTCACTCACTCTCTCACTCACTCACTCACTCTCACTCACTCACTCACACACTCACTCACTCACACACTCTCTCACTCACTCACTCACTCACTCACTCACTCACTCTCACTCACACTCACTCACTCTCACTCACTCTCACTCACTCACTCACTCACTCACTCCTCACTCACTCACTCACTCACTCACTCACTCACTCACTCACTCACTCACTCACTCTCACTCACTCACTCACTCACTCACTCACTCACTCACTCACTCACTCACTCACTCACTCACTCACTCACTCACTCACTCACTCACTCACTCACTCACTCACTTGACGGTCATAAGAAACTCTGCACTCAGATCCCCCGCGAAAAGTGACTCACTTTTAGTGCCCCGCATGACTATGGTTCGTTACGTGGCCGGTGGCTTTTAACTTTTCGTGGGTTGAATTCGGAAATTATTATTACACACTAAAAGGCTAAGAAGCTATGGGGATGGCTGGGAGCCACCAAGTTTCGCCCGGGGCGACGAAGAGGGCGGCCGCCGGGTGGAGCACCCTGGGCTGAGCTGGGCGGCTGGGCTGGGGCCGAAAGGGAGATGAGAAGCCGCCATGTGCTGCAACAAGGCCCTGGGAAAAAGGAGAAATGGACTGATTCCCTTGAAACAACACGGGAAGAATAAAAGATCATCTTGTTAGCAATGGAAGATGAGAAGCCGCCATTTGTGTCATCAAAACCCGGTTTGTTGAAAAGGTCTACCCAGAACCATGGAAAGAATGAAGAAGGCGGATATCCGCAGCTATTTCTGGTTGGGGTTGTCCCTAACCTTCAAGTACCCCTGTTTTGATTGTGGCTCACTTGCCTAAACAAGCGCCTGGGAAAAATAAGAACTGTCCAGATTCCCTTAAAACCGGGGGATTACTAAAAGAGAATCTTGTCAGCAAATGGAATTGCGCAATGGGAATAACACACTAAAGCCAAGGTGAGTCACTTGCTCCAAACCGATTCGGGTCATTGGATAGGGGACAACTTTGCCATGGATGGGTGCGGATATCCGCCTTTTCCATTCCTTACATGGTGGGTAGACCATGGTAATACCGGGTTTTAGTATGACAGGCAAGTCCCAATGAACCCGAACCCAAAAGACCCACACCGACCCCTAGGACCTGTTTGGTGCGCGGCGATAGGTACAACCCACTCACCATGGCCATGGTAAGTCCCCTAAGTGGCGATGACGCGTGCCGCTCATTTTGGGAATGGTTGATGTGGGGATTTTCTCCTCAGTCAGAACGAGTACAACATGTTGCCACTGCCATCTGAGGTTTCACAGGATCGGATCGTGGCTCATTCGGCCAGTTCCCGAAAATGGCCGCCGGTTTGTTTGAAAGCCCCACAAGGACGGAACGCACTTGGGCCGTCAAAACGACCAGCAAAAAATGTGGGAGGGGGGGGGCCTGGGTGCAAAGAGGGAGTGCAAACAAAGCCAGTTGGTGCAGCTGAGAGACCGTGGAATGCAGGTGTCGCAGCTTCTCGGCACCTGCACATTGGGCCGAAAAGGGTTGGGCTCGACAAAGAGCGCAACACGGGGGTGGCTTTTTTCCATGGTACCCCTCGTTGTTGGTTTTAGAAAAAAAGCCATCGATCTCTAGTTTTACGTGTTGGGGGCGCGGTCCCGCCAAACAAGGTACATAAAATTGAGCACCTCACCCCAGGATTTTTCAACAGGCTTGGGGTATAAGGGAGGCCTGCAGGCCAATGGCTTGGGTTGCGATTTGGGGCAAAGCAATTTGCTTGGCTTCGTGCGAGGGCGACTTGGGATACTTGGGCTTATGGCCATATCATAGAAGCACCGCTGGCCAAAAGGATGCGAGCAACGGGGTTCTTTCGCTTGCTGCAAGGAGTCAAAGAGGTTAGAATAAGGGTGCCCTTTTTTTGGTAGTCTATTTTAGTAGGGGCGGGGCACCCTCCCCCCAAAAAAGGGTGAGAGAAAGGGCACGATCCTGGGGGACCCAGAAAAAAGTTGCCCGGAGGGACCCGGGTTCGCTACACTCGGAGGACGCACCGAGTGTGGCGAATCTTCTTCCAGAAAGCTATAGAGAAAGCTCACGCCAAAGCCGAGCCAAGGTTGAGGCGCAGTCCAAACCACCTTGTTCTACCTGCATTTGCTTCCCCCCCCCCCGAAATAAACCAAATTTAAAAACCAAAAAAAACAACAACATTGGAACACGTCCAGTAGTGATAGATTCCCTTCAAGACCAACGGAGAAAATGATCATATTCTTAAGCACATGGAAACATACAAGTAGCTTGGAAACAAACACGACCCCCCATCACTATTTGGGTCGCGGTATCGTACCTTTCCTCCCACCAAAGCACGTGTGGGAAGGTACCTCAAAAATAATTGCTCTTGAACGACCCGCTCTTCAGGCGTCACGGGGACGGAGGGTAACTAAACATCAAGAGGGGAGGAGACTGGGCTTGAGGTCTGCCGTTCAAGGCTTATGAAATGCCTGGACAATTCCACATGCACTCACCCCCGCTCCCAATCAGCCGCTTTCGGAGTGATTGAGATGCAAATAGCGAGCTGCAACCTGGTTCATCCTCTGTCGAGGTTGTAACACGAATCTTTGAGGTGTTCATGTTCTCCCCACACATCAACCTGTGTGCATGGTCTTTACAAGAAAGTGAGAAGATAGCCACTGAATCCACCAAGGAATAGATGTTACCCAGGGACCCTTACATTATACGCCTGAACATTGCCTTGTAAATGGTGGTGTCCCTTTACTTTGGTATTGAAAAAGCCACGTTTCAAATGGTTGCAAAATGTATCTGTTAAGGAGCCCCGTGCCTCTTGACTCTTTTCGGAGGCACCTCGAGCCCCTCATCTCAGTTGTTCAGTGACCCTGGAGAAAAAAGGGAACCCATGGGAAGACCATATTTTTCGTGGACAGCCACCAAAAAAGGGAAAATAATTGGTGCCACTGAACAACTGGGTCATGGAAACTCCTTCTTCTCTTCGCAGATTAGGCTCCAAGCTGCCATGGGAGAGTTTTGCATAGGTAGGGGCTAAATGATGGCCAACTGTTCCATTCCTTCGCAACGGACATCTCGAAATTCCGACCAACGGAAATTTCAATTGGAACCGATTTCCATTTCCGTTTGGGGCTAATAGCTCCAATTCCTTTGAAATTTGTTCCTTCCCTCCTCACCCCCCTCCACGCCTCCCAGTCGTCGCCTAGCGAGCTTTAGCCCAACGAGCCGTGTTTCACCGGAGGGGTTCGCGTAGGTGGCCAAACGGTGGGCAGGGTCCGGTGGCGTGGTGGCTAACTTTTGGTGCTTGCTTAGTCTTAATTTAATCTAGGTCCTCCAATAGAGAGGCTAGAATAAGTTGGTACCAACTTTTTTCTGTAGTTCCATTTGAGTAGGCGAACCCTCCCGCAAAAAAGTTGGTCAAAGGGCATGATCCTGGGGGGCCTAGTCATAACTCCCCCTCCTGAACTGAGGGTTGTCACCATTTTGAGTTTGGATCCTGGACTTTTTCAGGGAAACACGCCGGCATGTTGATCCGGTTCGACTTTCGCTCCTTGGCTTCCAACAAGAAACACCCAAAGTGGCGACCTGGACCCTCACAAATCCAACCTAAAAATTGATCATAGCCCCCAAAAAATAGGGGGTGACTTCCTTTTTTTTATAGGCAAGACTGAGGGTCCAGGGCTCCCAAGTTTGTGCCCGGGCATATGCTTGGCACCGGAAAGGGGCAACGAAGCAGCTCAGCCAATGTTGCACCAGTCGTCTAAATCGGTCCTCCCATGTTTAACCTCAAATCCGCTGCTAAACCAGCCGCACACCTAGCACAAAACAGCCTTGGGCCAAGCAAAGCCGACCCAAAGTCAACCTTAAACCCTCCCAGCAGCATCCTGGATATCAGCCCTTTGCCGAGCCTGCATGAACCCCAAACACACCCAAGACCCGCCCTCATTAACACCTCAGCAAGCCCAACTCACCCCAAAGCAACTCTGAAGTGGCATCAAATCAACGCCAAAAAGCCGAGCGACCCCGGTGAACGCAGCCCTGACGCCAAGTAACTGGGGATGCTGGGGATGCGGCTGCCCAGCCGAACCAACCAACCCAACCAACTGGTCAACCGGGAGTAAGCCTTAGCCGGGGCTAGTAACCGAAATATATATATATATATACACAAAAAAAAACCGCCGGACGCGTTTATGCCCCCCCAACAAAAAAAGAAACAACAACAACAACAACAACAACAACAACAACAACAACAACAACAACAACAACAACAACAACAACAACAACAACAACAACAACAACAACAACAACAACAACAACAACAACAACAACAACAACAACAAGCAGCAGCAGCAGCAGCAGCAGCAGCAGCAGCAGCAGCAGCAGCAGCAGCAGCAGCAGCAGCAACAACAACAAACAAACAAACAACAACAAACAACAACAACAACAACAACAACAACAACAACAACAACAACAACAACAAAACAACAACAACAACAACCAACAACCAACAACCAACAACCAACAACCAACAACCAACAACCAACAACCAACAACCAACAACCAACAACCAACAACCAACAACCAACAACCAACAACCAACAACCAACAACCAACAACCAACAACCAACAACCAACAACCACAACCAACAACCAACAACCAACAACCAACAACCAACAACCAACAACCAACAACCAACAACCAACAACCAACAACCAACAACCAACAACCAACAACCAACAACCAACAACCAACAACCAACAACCAACAACCAACAACCAACAACCAACAACCAACAACCAACAACCAACAACCAACAACCAATAACCAACAACCAACAACCAACAACCAACAACCAACAACCAACAACCAACAACCAACAACCAACAACCACAACAACCAACAACAACAACAACAACAACAACAACAACAACAACAACAACAACAACAACAACAACAACAACAACAACAACAACAACAACAACAACAACAACAACAACAACAACAACAACAACAACAACAACAACAACAACAACAACAACAACAACAACAACAACAACGACAACAACACGACAACGACAACGACAACGACAACGACAACGACAACGACAAGGACAAGGACAAGGACAAGGACAAGGACAAGGACAAGGACAAGGACAAGGACAAGGACAAGGACAAGGACAAGGACAAGGACAAGGACAAGGACAAGGACAAGGACAAGGACAAGGACAAGGACAAGGACAAGGACAAGGACAAGGACAGGACAAGGACAAGGACAAGGACAAGGACAAGGACAAGGACAAGGACAAGGACAAGGACAAGGACAAGGACAAGGACAAGGACAAGGACAAGGACAAGGACAAGGACAAGGACAAGGACAAGGACAAGGACAAGGACAAGGACAAGGACAAGGACAACGACAACCACAACAACAACAACAACAACCACAACAACAACCACAACAACAACAACAACAACAACAACAACAACAACAACAACAACAACAACAACAACAACAACAACAACAACAACAACAACAACAACAACAACAACAACAACAACAACAACATCATATGGTGGGTTTCCTTTTGGTTTCCCGCTTAAAACAAAAAAAACACGCGGCAAACCAGTCTCAGCACCTTCTGCCCGCTCGGGATCGTCGATTTTCTCCTCGCCTGTGAGAGGCCAAGACTGTGGGCGCTTTGCCTCGGATGACAGCTGCTTTTTGGGTTTACTCGCTTCCGATCGAGTGGATGGCTCAAAAGAAAATCTTTAGCACTTAAGTGGTTGGATTTCAGCCACCAAACCACAATAAGCAAACCTGTTTCAAATGTTTCCCAGCAACAACCATGATAGAGAGGATGGCTCAAAAACTCTCGGAGGATGGCTCAAACACCTTACCTTTGTTTCGCCACTAAAATGGTCCAAACCCAAGTGACTGAAGTCCAACTCAGGAAGTGAGTCGGGGGTTTTCCATGCCCGGGTTTTCCATAGGGTTCATTTGACCCTTAGGGCAAGGGAGCAGGCAAGTTGAAAGGTCACTGCTCATGGGACTTCCGATTCCGTCCTGTGTCCCCTTTAGGCACAAATACCACGCACATCGTCATGAACATCTTCGTGTGCAGGAAATCGTTTTGAGCTGGTTCCGCGCTTTTGGGGATTTGCGGCCAGGCTC